TTCTGATTAAAATGAGACCTCTCCCAACTCTACATGACCTTTCTTTGCAAAGTTATAGAATTTACACGAAGAGCCCTAAATTAATTTCTTCTTATTTCTGTAGCTTCGAGTTGACAATGAATATTTAGGGCTCTTCGTGTAAATTCTATAACTTTGCAAAGAAAGGTCATGTAGAGTTGGGAGAGGTCTCATTTTAATCAGAAATGTGCGGGCTACAAACATGGCTTATTAAGAAAAACGTCTGAAAATCACGAAAGGAAGCACTTTTTTTTCCTTGGCCGTTAGATCATTATTCACATAGTCACTTTTGCGTTCTGTCACCTTTTCAGACGACGTTATAGCCGAATCTTCTTTAGTTTCTGAAAAGCTGGTTTTCCAGAAAACTGGTCTTCAAAGCCCTGAGGGCAGCTCTCATATTCATATTCGGAACCAGCATCATCGATAACCTATAACTCACTAGGTTTCGTTGAAAAAGCGAGAGGACACTTACATGTGTTCCCTCGTTAGTCAATCTAAGAGAAACATTTTTCTCGAACAAACACATCACACACTATCGAAAAATTACATTCAGCAGTGTAACAAAAGATAACATGAAGATTTTAGAGGGTGGAGTCAATAGTAGAAAGTCAAAATTGCTGTGTACTCGCTTTGAACTATCATGAACTTTTCATTGAAAATGAGTTATTTTCCTTTGCAGATAAAGATAATGGCATAATGAGAGTGCCAGATGGTCGAGAAAGACTAAAAAACTGATTGTTTGACCGTGTTCTCGAAGAAAAGTCCGAGTAAAACATGGTGTAATCAAGTCTAAAAAACGAAACTAGAGCTATTTAAAACGCGGAAAATCGATAATGCATGACTTTCTTAAGGTATGTACATGAGTTTCTTGAAGTATGTGCTTGAGTTTCTTGAGGTATGCACATTGTTTTAGATATTTCTCCCCTCATGCGCATACTTCAAGCAACTCAAGTGCATAAGACAAGAAAGTCAGGCACATACCTCAAGCATTTTGTATGAGTAAGAAGTGTATGTGCATGGAGACAAATCCTGAGGTATGTGCTTAAGGAAAAAGGCTTCACTAGAGCAGTGTTTTTAAAGACACGGTGAGCACGAGGACTTTGTTGTTAGGTTATGACTTAATCTTAAACATAAGCTCAATGTTTACATAAATTACCTCATTGTAACATTTAGTTAGATGTGCTAAGACATGACTTAAGTACACATTTTCTGCATTCTTGAAATCTCACAAACGAAAGAACTAAACTGGACTATATAAGATCTTTTATGAAAACGTTTTGCCTGAAATTAAGCTCGAGAATTTAACTATGTCTTAATCTTAGCTAAAAATCTTGATTTAAGTCGATGACTTAACATTATTGATGAACAATCTACTGCACTTATTATATTTACCTGGTATCCACTATATGATACCTTCCTTCTGCTTTGACTTGCGCACTAATGTTTGTTCCTTCTGAGAAACGTACTGCTAAACATCACACACAACGCATCAATTTATTTTTTATAGTAATAAGAAAACAAAATTCCAAAAGAAAAAAAAATACATATTTTGACAATAACATAATGATAAGAATAAAATAATAATAAAAAGTAACACAAATTAGTCTGATAAAATATAAAAAACTTGGATTCTCTTAAGGAGGCACCTCTAGCGAACAAAACTTTTTTGTTTCACATCTGATTTCGTTGGCTCTTACAGTGATTGATGCTTACTGTCCACCTAACTTATGCTAAATATCTGAGTTCGAAACGTTGAACCATTGCTGTGTTATTGAGTGACAACGGGCAAAATGGGGCTCTTAGCAAAAACGTTAAGGCTTTCTTGTTGGAAGGAGCACAGAGCTGAGGGTGGTTTCAAATGGAAGTAGACACCTAAATCTAAAGTTTGTCTGTAGCGATTTTTGAATTTCGCTACCGTTCGTTCCCTACACATATTTTCAGTTATAACTCTGAAAATATCGCTAATTCGGCGGAGTATTTGCCGCTTATATCTGCACAGAAAACGAAATTCAAAAATCGCTACGGACAAAATTCAGATAAAATGTTTTAGCTTCAAAATAAAAAAGATGAAGGTTTTACGATGAATCGTCCAGGAGGAGATACAACTTTGCTCCGCTAAAAGGATGTCTTGAGGAAAACGTTAAATAAGTTTGAAGAGCATAATGACAGCAGATTTGTGGGTTTAATATAGGACTGTGATACATATTTATGAAGCAAACAGACAGCTCTTTCTATTCAGAAATAACCGGTTAAACTACGTTTAACGGTTTTAAAACATATGTATTGTGGCGTCCGAGACGTGATATATTTTTGGCTCCTACTTTCGTTTATCCTCATAGGGGTTATTTGACCGCTAGAAAACCTAATAAATAACTGACAGAAATATCAGATATCACGATTACAACAGGACACTAAGTAAACATCTCCACTACTGAAAATAACGCCATTTTGTCCACGGGAAAAGTTGCTAAAAATTGGTTGAAAATTGAGGTGGCTGGCAAAAAATCTCTCAAAACCGCATAAAAATCTACTTCTTTTGTGGAAAACATAAATATACATAGTCTGATAGAAGAACGTGTTTTCTTCACAATGAGACGTTCTACAGGATTTTCCGATGAGTTTTCGCGGAGATATAAGCATCGCGGCAAATGCTCTGAAAAAAGTGGCCTGTGTACAAAATGCGTTTTTTCTCGAAAATTAATTGTTTAGCTACCGGGCTTTATTGTGTCACATTACGACTCCCCTTAAATTTCATCCGATCGAATTAAAAATTTTACTATAGGTATTCAAGATCACAGTGTAGAAGTTGTTTTTTGGAGTTTTATTTTAGACTTTTCTTTACCGAGTTATAGGGTTTCTAAAATTGAAAAACTTGGTTTTTGAGACGTTTTTCAGTATTTTTCCTGTAACTCGGTAAAGAAAGGTCTGAAAGAAATTCCCCAAAAAATCCTCTGTGCTATGACCTTAAGTACCTATAGTAAAATTTTTAACTCGATCGGATGAAATTTAAGGGGAGGGTGGGGGTCGTAATGTGGCACAATGAAAAACCGAATTTTCTGGAAATAGTTAAAAACTAGAAGCAAAAATGAAAAAGTGCTCCATTAAGTTTCCAATCAGTTCTGAAAATATGAAGCCTTAGTGACTTTTAGTTTTTATTTACAGCATTTCAACGGAAAGCCCAAATGAGGGGAGGGGTACCCTTAACCGGTGACCAAACAGAATAAGCTGCACTGTATACTATCGTCATCGATAACATAGTTTTGCAAGATATGGTTTTTAGCTGGAATTTGACTAGATTTTATTCTGAAAACATATTTTTAAGTTTAAAAGCATTTTTAAAGCCATTTTGACGTACAGACTCAAGTTACAAAATGTTCAATGGTAAAAAAGTGATTTTAGCTTCCCGTGTCCGTGAACGAACTAAGATACAGATAACTATGTGTAGCGAAAATAAAAAAACTATCTATGTAGGAAAAATACATAGTTAGTATTTAACACAACCTGTACAAAAGAAAACTGCTAAAACTATGATCGACTTGGGATTAATTCATGAATTGTTAAATTTGGATTTGAAAATCGTACGAGTTTTTGTGGATCAACCGTATCCAGTGAGAATATATGAGGTACCTGAAGTTGAAAAAATACCATTACACATTTTGTAGATCCACATGTCATAAACACTTCATTTACCTCAAACAAAACAGCCAATGTGCCGACAATTGTTACAGTTACAAATAAAACTAACTGTAAACGATCTATGACGGTCGCTACAAATTTCCAATCGTCTCTGATCGATTCAATAAGTGCTTCATTTGCACAATGTGCTGCTATGTAACGTATATTCCCCAGAGCTTGAATCAACTCATCACGCATCAGATCAATTGGTCGTCGTCGCTCAATAATTTCAGCAGTAGTAGTTTTATTATTATGAATTAAACGTTTATTCGATAAATTCGTTAACAGTGTCGATGAACGTCGTTTTTGAGCATAAGAAAAAACCGAATCAGATGAACCAGAACCATGGAAGTAAGTGGGTGGATTCTACAAAAAGAAGGTATGACTATAGTTATCCTAAATAGACTTCTGTACCTTTTTCCGTTTCGTCGTTGTTTTATGATGTTGTGCTTCATTAGATCGACACATTTCATTTTGATAGACGAGTGATTGTTCTTGGTCATTTGTTTCAGTCATAATATTTAACGCATCCTGATTACTAATATCATTTTTCTGACGTGCACGTAACCTTGGAGATTTCATTAATAGTAAACGGGGTAAAATATCGAGAAATAGTCGTCTTATCCAGTTCGGCTAGAAATAACAAAAATTATTCTCATATTAAAATAGATTAGAAGTCGATACTTACCATCGTATGTGTCATTGGACTACGATAATAAAAATTTGTAATAATTACTGTATTCACTGAAAAAATACTTAGAAATAATTAGAAATTTTAGGAATGATTACACAGAAATCACTCACCAATAACAAGAACATTTAATGTGAACGTAAACAAAAGATATTTTGCTATTAGTGGTACAACGGCTGATGTAGGCGGTAATATTTTGGTGACAAGTAATTGAAATAAGTTTAATGCCAGCAGAATACTCATACATAATGTCATTTTTTCACCAGCATAAGTAGGTAAACAAAAGACAATACAAATTAATATTCCCATTAATCCCGTAGGTACAATTAGATTCACTGTATAATACAATGTTTTACGACTCATTCGAATGACAAAAACAATTTCAATATAATCAGGTGTTGAATTCTTGAAGTCAGTAGTTTGTGCAGCCGTTGAATTTGAAATATGATAATGAACAAATTTACCAGGAATCTAAACACGACGGTAGTCAATAAAATTGTTTGCGGTGACGAGTAGTTAACTTACACTGAGAACATTCCATGTTCCACTCTCTAAATAATCATCCGTATACTGTTCGTCCAATTCACCAGTCGATAATTTTGGTATAAGTTTTGTAAGTTCACTTTTTTGGCCAATGGATTCTGTATAATGATGAAAATTCACTTCACGAGCATTGTACGTCTAAACATAGAGACATAAGGGCCGAAATTCTTTATTACAATGTGGCTTTAATATGTTATTTACCCATGACGCAAAACGCATTTCACATTCTTGACTATCAAATGGAAAAAAAGTGACATCAATACGGCATGAACTCTTGTAAATTGCTGGAGGAACTATGCAAATGAAGAACCATAGATAGAAAAAGGGAATGAAATGCATTCAACTTACTCCACATTAATTCGCCTAAATCAATGAGAGAGAATCAAATAATTAACTATAATATACTATAGAAATATTTCTCACCGGTATAAGTGAGAATAACTTTTGATTTGAAAGATACTTCATAATTTCCATCTTATTAAACAGAAAAAATTTAATATAAATAATAAATCAGGTATGCTTTTGAGAGATATATTACCTGCATTGTTAAACAAAACAACATCCTAAAATGGCGAAAACTAGTTTACTGATTTTCTCAATAAAGCATTTCATACTCACCGGTGTCCATACATTATTGAATGGTACATTAATTGTCTCTATGTGACCTTTGATAGGAAAACACAATCAAAAAAACATAGCAAAGACTAGCTATATCAATACCATATCGTTCAGGATTCCAACGTAGTTGTGAATCATTCCATTTCATATGTAACCAAGTATTTGTCTTCATTATTTGCTCCTTCTCGTAAACCTAAAAAAATTGTGATATTGTACGGTTTCGATAATAAGTCTGTTTACTCGTGTCTCACATACATGTATTAATTGCACAAGTAATAATCCAAATGCAACATTGACTGTTTCATTTGAATGTTGTGTAGGACGTACTAATGGATTATAATCTTGTTCAGAAAAAAGATAATGTACGAGACGGGTTTCATCGTCAGATGCATGTACAATAATAAATAATATAGCGTTTAAAAGAAAAATAATTAACAAATATTTTGATGAAAATCTGTCGAGTATCAGTTGGAAAAATGTCAAAAGCATGAAATTGAAAAATTAATACTATCTTACATCATATAATTGCTTTCGTTTCCGATAATTTTTATCTAAAAAAGAATTAGTACTAAAACCATTCCATCAATTGATTGCGTCTTAATTTTTTACTAAAGAGATGGGACAAAGTGTTTTGGCCTAAATAAAAGAAGAGAGGCCATTACATGATACGCTAATACTATTTTTTTAGACATCTGTTACAAAAAATTTTATAAATAAACTATTAAACTAGTAGTAATTTGTCGTTTATACATTGGGAAGAATAGAAATAACAGCTGTTTAAATGAACTGTGTAGTGTGTGAGATTTTATAGTAACTGATTTTTCGCGAAGATAGACATCATAACAGTTACTACTGCCTGTACACGTTATGGTTGAACAAAATATGCGAATACATTTTATCTGGAAGTTTCGTTAGAATAGTTTTACTTCAACGTTTTTTCTACTCTAACGAAGTTTTTCTATACAAGTTCTTAATATAGACTGAATATTATAGAGCGAGATATTTGAGCCTAGATGACACTACCAATTAATGACCTTTTTTGTTTTTTACTGTATAAAATTACCTCTATACAAAAGAAAGTCTCTAGTGAAACTATTTGTAGCAAAGATCTTAGCAAATTATGGTAGAAGAAATAAAGAAATTTCAGTAAGACCTTCAATCAAGATCTTGGTTAGAAGAAGTTCCACTATCGCATTCTTTTGTGTTTTCTTTACAAAATAATTGGATTTGCACATGTTTTGTTTAATGTGCGTATTCTCAAAGGTAGTACATCACAGACAATACTATACTTTAAAAATATGAAGATGATCTAGAATTGATTTTTATTGAAAATATATACGATATTAATTTACCTTTCATTTTTAGAGATATATGTCTTCCAAGAATATAACCATTTCTTGTTTTATAAGAAAAGAAATTAATGTTCTAAATTTAGTTAGTTAGGCCTTATTATTTCTGAATAAAACAGTGATCACACGTGGTTTCGTCAAAATTTTTCACTAGACTACATATCTAAATCTATAAAACATGTATAATAATCAAAAAAACGGAAAAAAGAGAAAGAGAGTAGTACTAACTAGCCTGCTTAGACTATATTTCGATCGCTATCATTATATGAAAACGAGTTTTTCTTCTTTTTGTTGAAAAAAAAAACTATACTGTGATGTTCCGTTGATGATCTATCTGAAGAGTATATAGAAAAAGAAATGTCTTCTGAAACTGAAAAAGAAAAACTCTGAGAATTTCCCGTCATGTTCATCTTATTGATTGTCTCTTTTATATTTTTATGAGTACGTGCTCGATGATCAGCATAAGAGTGGAAGAGAAACATTAAATTAAGTATTTAAGAATAAATATGTAGAGGGCTTTTCTCCACATAAACATGATCAAAGCACAATTTCGGAGGCATTAGAGAAGAAAGCAAACGTAAACTCTCTTGATAATTAAACACAAGTTGTTCATGATTTAAACATTCAAGAACGTTAAAAACTTTGTCAGTTTCAAATAATCTTAAGTTCAGTTTGTTTACTGGATTTCTATCGCACTTGCCTTTTTTCTTTAATATGATGTTATAGTAACTTTTCTTTAATTTCTAGATGGTTCTCTCGTACAAAAACAAATAGGCCCCCAAAAATCGAATACACACAAACAACTAGTTTTTTCACAACAGTATTGCGGTTGGCACGCTGGTGCACAACGTTTACTTCGTTCTAAAGCAACATCTTCTTGACTTTGAACATCATAACGATCAATGTCATCTTGATAAGATGTTTCCTCTTCGCCATTATCGTTATGAGCAAATGTTTTCAGATAATTTTGATTGGATTTTGAGTCAATAGCATCGATAGTATCGACATTATTATTTTTTAATAAACGCGAAATCAAACGAAAATTTGGTATATCCTCAGTGCTCCAATTATACTTTATTCGTGACGTTTGTTTGTCGCCTTCGGAGATTAATGATGCGATCGGATTTGACACTGTTAAAACGATGAATATCTGAATAATCTGCGAGTATCGATAATTCATTGTATCATTTAAATGTAAAATGGTTACTCTGCAAAAGGGCGCATATAGAACAAGAATTTGCATTCGTTGGACTTTTAGACGTTAAACTATTTTTGCACTAATAGGACAGAAGAAACATATTAATGACTTGTATCAGCAATTCATAAATATTTTGTTTAGTTATTTTATAGTGAAAAAGTGTGTTTTGGATAACAAAAAACATTTAAAAACTTTGACTTTTAATAAATAATCATTTATTAACATTTACGATAGTCCGCTCAACTCGTTAGAAACAAATATGTAAACATAATAGCAAATATCATAATAGTCAATATCATAGCAAATAAAAAGTGAAGTTTGTCCGAATTAAATCTTTCGAAATAAAAAAATATACACTAAAGTAGGTTCATGAAGCGCTTAATCAAGGAGCAATATTGTTGTGTGTAGCTCGTTTACCTAATCATATTTGGTGGTATTGCGAGGGTCATATTATTCAGATTACGGTATTCGACTTGTCTCGTACATTGTAAAGTCAGAAATTATTTATAAAAAATACTCGGCGATTTTCAAAAAGTCCATATATGAAATCCTCACGGATTTTCCAGATTATAGAAAATCGAATTTCCAATAATGTAGAAAATCGACATCGATTTTCTTCATTATTGGGAATTATTTATAGAAAATTCCTGCGAATTTTCGTCTAGAAGATCCTCAGTGATCTTATCTATGGACTTTTCGAAAATCAAAAAGTCGGATTATTTTCTACTTTTCAGAAAATCGTTGAGGATTTTCCAGACGATGAGGAAGAACAATTTGAGTGAGAATGCTGCTAATCTGAGACTTGCAAAGTGAAAATGCCCGAAGGTAAACTTTTTCACTGTTATTAAAAGCTATTGAACTTCGAAGTTGTGTGGGGTGTATTATTTCAGCCTTTATTATTGTGCATTGTTCAAATATTTGACTTTTACGTTCATAGTTCAGAAGAATAAAAAAAAGACTTATATTATTTGAAAAATAAAGAAAATAATTGTGAAATGATAGGATTATGTCCTTGAATTAATAGAACCAAGTACTTTTTTGGAAGATGCTAAATTCAGACATAAAAATGAGGAACATTAACAAGAGCGAATCGCTTTGCGTTCTTCAGAAAGTTACAGTGGAACTCGACTTTGTCTTAACCAGACCTAACCCAAGAACCTTTTTTGTACCTCTTTGTGATCTCTAAGTATCATACAACAATAATACTTCTCGAAGAATATGCTGATTTGCAAAAACTGAGAGAGCTTTCCGAATCTATCAACATTTCCGATTTTAAATACTAAAAGGGACAGAGATCTGTTACAAGATAACTTGTTGCAATGAAGGCTTTGATAGATGTGAAAGAAACAAGAAAAAAATGACCGATTGGACTTCTTAGAAAATCGAATTCGATTTTCCAACTATTTAGAAAATCGCTGTCGAATTTCAAGAATCTTGGAAATTATTTATAGAAAATCGAAGAAACTATCTTTATCTAATATCATCCTTCCTCTATCTATACGTCTATTCATATTTTGTTGGTTTTTAATAATTTCAATACCATATCTGTCCATATCAATTTGAACAATAGGTAGAATTTATGATTTTCCTATATTGAATATATTTTTCTCATTTTTGACTCATTTTCGTGCTCTCGAAGACGAGTACAATGATCAAATTGAGAAGTCGGGTCCGACTCTAGGCAAGCTTGGATGATCCGCTTCGGTCTCTGATGTAGATGTTGAGTGTGCATTTCGACGTTACAGCAATAGTCAAAACATGTATCAAAATCAAAAAAAGAAGAGGATTGGAAAAAATTCTTTGAAAATATCTTCAAAAAACCAGAAAAAGACAAAATTAAGGCGGCTTTGTTGTAGGCGGCTCTATGCGTCGACGGTAAACTACGCTTTTTCGATGAGAAAGCGACTGAGTTCTAAAATATCTGAACGTTTTAGAATTTATCTGTCTTTCTTCACTTTTTATTCCGCCGGTTTACCGATATTTCACCGGTTTTGAAAAGACATTAGTTTATACCGACCGGGCCGGTATCGGTATAATTTCCCATATTGGTTCCAAGTCTGGGTTGTTATAGTCACTGCATGATGATAATGTATGCCTTCTTGCGTTATTGTTGCGTCTTATCGGACTGTTATGAGATGTAATTGATTTCGAATCATATAGTGTGATTGTTTTTGACTGGCTGAGTTCAATTCAATAAATGCCAACTTCTGTTAACCAAACGCTGATAGTCTTCATCCGAGCATGGGAGACGCTAAATTATCTCATAGATTCTCCTGTTCTATGTTAGTGGTGTCATCAGGATTTTGGATGTGCAGGAAAATTTCCTTTAATTAAAACTTTTTCTAAAAAAATTAAACCATTTAAAGTTTTATAATCAAGTTCACTGCAAAAAGCTATCCATGTCGACGAAATTGCGCTATTTTTAACAATTAATCGCGATTTTGAAAAAATCACAAATTAATTGCGATTAATTGACGATTCCGATGATTTTTCTTTCTTTTTAAAATCATCAATTAATTGCGATTGATTGTTGGTTTTAAGCTACTAAATGATTATTGTTATTCACCGTTTTATTTTGCCGTAAATTATGTATATAAGAAACACGATTTCAACGAGAAATAGAATTGAACTCTTTTTATTTTAGAGTAAAACGGAGTTGTCAAGAGTCTTCTTTATGGTCCCTAAGAGCCTTAAGCTGAGCAGCCCAGTGAACAGGTGGCGTCGGGAAAATATCTAAAATCGACTCGTCGGCAAGGCTCCGACTTGAGCTGGTGCCAAGACCGTTGCTGAGTGACGCACATGTATTATACATAATAAACAATGAAAAAACAGAAAAAACTATGTATTTCCTAAGATGGGTTCGAACCTAGTACCTAGAAAAAAAATCGTCAGTTAATCGCTAAAATCACCAAAAAATCACCATTAATTGTGATTAAGTGCACGATTAATTACCGATTTTCATGCGATTTTTAGTACATGGGTAGGCACCCGTCGTGGGGGTAATACTCTTTTCAATTCTGTAGTAGCGTAATGGGCAGTCAGGAGTATAGATTATTTGCAGCTTTCTCCAAACTTCTGTCTACACTTTGTACAGAATTTTGACATTACAAACTTGAGATTTTACTTCTCTGATGCACATTGGATATAAGAGCCATTGCAGATAAGCGACGACCAACCGTTCTCAATCAGCTTTCTCCAAACTTGATTCCAATTGCATAGGTCAAAAGTACAATCAATAGCAAGTTTTTTGCAGCAAATCGCAGCTCTACAACCCAAGTAGTTATTGAGATATTCAAGTTTTAAGAAAAGTTGCCATTTCGAATTTTTTTGGTAGTGAATTAAGATCAATTAGCGTTTAATCTTGAGTGTGTTATTTTCTAACGACTTGACTTAGAGACATGAACATCTCAGCACAAATACAACTTGAATCAGGCTAGAAAACAGGGCAAGTCCGGGCTCTAGAGATCGTTTTATTATCAAGTTATGTATGACGTTACCGCTACTACTTCACCATTCATTATCTCGTGCATAACCGGCTCAGTAAGGCTCAGCCTTTTAGGGTAGATACTAGAAGAGTGGAGTGATAAAACGGCAATAGAAAAACTTTGGACTTCCAAGAGGAACGTGAGATATTGAATTTTTAGTGAAATTTCGGCGTCAACGGATAGACCCAATCCATATAAAACCTACCACTATTTGCATCGACCTTTGATGTCAGTGACGAGAACTATCTCATATTATAGAGCTCGGCAAGCTGAACCGAATGGTGAAAACCGCAAGTCTCTAGCCTTATTAGAAAAAAAGTTATAGCCATTTTATGTTTGCATCGGAAGAATGCATTTTCGGCGGTTTTGTAGAACGTCTGCGACCACATTACCTAACGCAGAACCTTAAACTTGGTATCAAATGGAAGAGCGTGTCGAGTTCTATATATTTCCATGAAGAAAAGTTATGCTACACCTTGGGACTTGAGATAGAGATCCCTGAAAAACGGTTTTCTAGAAAACCTAGTAATCTTAAAATTTTTTCCGAAGTTTTTCAACCATATCATTGGATAGCCCCTTCAATTCTCCACAAAATGAGATGCTGGTCAAGTTTCTACGATCTTCTGTCAAAACGTGCCATAGAATTACGACATTGCTCGATAATGGCAATAAAGGAATGAATTTATATAATGTGTATATCTTTACGTAATGTGAAAAAGTCTGTAACTCGATCGTTCAAGATTGTAGAAACTTGACTAGCATCTCATTTTGTGGAGAATTGAAGATTAAACGCTAGTTGATCCTAATTCACTACCAAAAAAATTCGAAATCGCAACTTTTCTTAAAACTTGAATATCTCAATAACTACTTGGGTTGTAGAGCTGCCATTTGCGGCAAAAAACTTGCTATTAATTGTACTTTTGACCTATGTAATTGAAATCAAGTTTGGAGGAAGCTGATTGAATACGGTTGGTCGTCGCTTATCTGCAATAGCTCCTAACATCCCGTGCTCCCGAGACGCGGTCTTATATCCAGTATGGCATAGTAGAAAAAAACCTTTAATATTTATTTTCTACTATGTTCTTTTTCAAAATATTTCATGCGCGCTTGAGACAATAGATGAGAGAGTACTACTAACGTGAAATATATGACAACACGAATAATAACTTGTACTGATTGATAGATGACGCTGTCCGCTAGTTTTTTGCATCATCTGTTTGAGTAAGGGTTAATGAAGTTCATCATCTCTTTTCTAAACACATTTTCATGACAAAATTTACGGATTATATTGATGGATCACGTCGTACAGCACAGTAGTTTAAAACGTTGCTCTCACCGTCCTTAGAGATACTGAGCCAATGGACTTGAAGTTATCTGTCAGTACAGCGATAAGGAAAACTGAAGGGTGTTTCATAAAAATTGTTAAGTGCTCGACTTATATTAACTACCAGACTTAAGTCAGACTTAAGTTTATAAAATTAACACGTACGTTTACAAAACGAAGACTTAGGTCTAACTTGAGTGAAAGTATGAAACCTTCCTGGCTTACAAGCCGGAAAGTAATCAGTGTTTTTAATTGCACGGTGAAGAAGCGGGCTTTCAACTGTACCACTATGAAAAACTGAAATCTACTATGGTTCTCAAGATGACTTTCAAGTTTTCACTTTGATGTTGATTCCACATTGGAAAAATTCCCATGTCAATTTTTTTATTAAAAACATTGGTGATGCTCCGATATTATACGCAAAATCCGCTTCAAAGTCTAAGTAAAAGTCTTTTTGGCGGTGTTGGATTTTTTCCATCGAAATTAACGTTTTAAATCTTGAATGTAACGTGTTCTGCGACATCAGCAGATGATATTACTTTGAACGTTTTATTTTGAAAGTTTCAGCCTTTTTGTTTTCAACTTTATTTTTTTTTGCAAGAAGGAAAAATAAAGTTTGAAGGTTAACAATTTTTCGCGGTTACTGCGGTTTTAGCACTCTCCGTTATCCCCTTCACCTCTCTGACACTTGGACGGACGGATGGACATTCTTCTGTAGAGACTAAGCTGAGTACAGATACAGATTATAATTCGAGTGATACAGAAACGTTCATTATCTACATGTAAAATGAATTAATATCACGTAGTCCGAAATTCAAAAGAACATATTTATATATATCAACCTGTCAAAATAAATTTATAACGAATGGGACACAATTTTATTTGAAAACAATAGAATCGATTTTTGTTTATTAAGCTATTTAGAATATAAACATACAATAAAACGACTTAATTTGGAAAATACAACATTGATTTCACTACATTTATACAAAACAAAATTTGTCTTAATAACAAACTAATAATTTCTTATTTTCTCGTATTTTCTACTAGTTTTTACTTTTTTCTTCATACTTTCTCTGTAAAATTTCTTATTTTTATAAACTTTCATTTTATATTTGAAAAACTAAAGAAAATCTGTTTTGCCATTACTTTATTATAAACTTTTTTTCTTTTTGTTTGTTGTTTACAATATTGAACAGGTGAGCCGATGTTTCACACTGACGGCGTCAAAATTCAAAACTGGACTAGCCAATGGCGTAGTCGACCATCAAGTCTGACTGAGAGCGCTAAATTATAGAAACATAAATGGGCTGCTTTGTGTACTACTGAGCGGAGTTAGTTTTTCTTCTTTTCTCAAAAATATGGAAAAATGAGATGATATACGAGAAATAACGGAAGTAAAGATTTAGATTACTAGGGTATAACAAATATAAAGTAGTGTTTCGAATAAAAATCGTCTGCTCAACTCAGAACTGAGAGTATTGATTTTGTTTATTTCAATCTTGTGAATTGTATTGGAATACTAAAAAGGACGTGATCCTCCTCTGCTACTGTTTCTCGAAGACTTTGCTCTAACAGGAAACAAAAATTTGTCTGTGTTTCCAATGAACAGCGTTAATTCAGTGCAGACGCTCATATAACAGTGTCATCTTAGAATGTTCATGGTCTGTTTGAAAAATGTAACAGAAATAAAGCAGTAGTCAAAGGTAAGGATGTTCCCTAGTATGGCTTTATCGTCTTTGTCGTGCTAAAATATTTTTGTTTTTTTATTTACAGTACGCAGTGCTATCTCCTTTTTGAGTAATATTTGATGTGCATTTCTTTAACTTTAGTGTTTAGTTCAGCTGTGTGTGATACGCAAGCCATATTTTCTCTCGTTGTGGTTTTATTCTTTCGATAGATCTTTGTGTAATGTACTCGCCCAGTGGAAACAAAATATTCTTTCTTTACCTCAACTTTGTATTGTCGACAGTGCTCAACGACTTATTGGTTGGCCAGTAATTTAAATCTATTAGGTTTTTCGAAAAAATCTATTTTTCTTCCTTTCTGCAACAGATTTTTATTTATATTCAGAACCTTTTTGCAAAAAATTATTCAAACTTGATGGAGAGTTTCTTTTAACGTATAATCAGTTGTAGAAGCTTGTCTCAGAAAAACAAACAACACATATCTTTTTTTCTCGATCTTTTACTTTATTTTAAGAACTACATCCTTTAGCATTTTGTTCTTTGTTGGGCTAAGATTTTGGTATGTAACGTCGTTTCTTTTAGTAGAACGACTCCAGCAGAGAGATTCAGAAAGTCTGCTATATTAGTAGTCGATGACAACTGGCCTCTAGACAGGTGATGCTCTCGTATTATGGAAAACGAATACTTAAACTAAGAGAAATTTATCTGAAAACTGAGCACCATTATCAACCAAGTCTTTGTTTAAAATGAACAATCTGCCGACATAAAGTTTGTTTTCCTCCTTTTAGAACCGTTTAAATGTATCCTCTAGGACAACAAGAACAAGATGATGGACAAGAATCACAATCCCATACTTATGCAGCTTCATCTTTCTCCCAACCGATGCTGCTATACACATGTAAGTAATGAAAACCGCAAAAAAGTCATATGCTAATCATTAGTTTGATAAACATCCAAAAAATTTATACTTTTTTCAGTTTAATAATTCTTAAATGAAAGTTTGTTGTTTTTTAGCTATACCCAATAGTATTTTGGATCCCGATAATCAAAATTCCATTGGGATTACGTATTACGAAAACCCATATGAGTTTTACGTTTATTTACGCTCAAAATTCAGCGAACTAGTACAAGTACGTGTGAATATGTGCGGCGTAATAGCACTTGTTTGTTTAAAGTTCCTAAAATTCGAAAATTCAGCAGATTTTTGTTTTTGCATTTCTTATACATCGTTAGATAGAGCTCGTTGATCTGAAGAAGAAAATGTTGATTTTGGTTTTTAAAAATGACCTTTTCCAGTCGAAATTTTCAAAGTATTCAACAGGGGTATATTTTTGAAAAAGCCGTAAAGTCAGATAAATTTTCTTCAAAAAAATTTTTGAAAAGGTTTCGAATCACCGGCGGCGGCGAAAAACTTCAAAAACAAATTCCGTCTATGGCGGTGGCGGAGTGAAATATCAAAAATAATATTTGGCGGCGACAGCGGCGCGGCTAACACCTCTAAGTATAGAAACGTACACTATAGTGTACGTTTCTATACTTAGTTTTCCGCGAAGAATAAGAAAAAAGCAATTTCAGAAGTTGAAACAGCTTAGAAAAAGAAAATTTTCACTTTGATGAGACTTTACCAGTTTTTTCAAAAATGCACCCTTGTTGAATACTTTGAAATTTTCGAGTGGAAAAGGTCATTTTTAAAAACCAAAATCAACATTTTCTTCTTCAGATCAACGAGCTCTATCCAACGATGTATAAGAAATGCAAAAACAAAAATCTGCTGAATTTTCGAATTTCAGGAACCTTACACCTTTTCAGATGCAAGATGAATTACAACGAGTATTAAAAAAAGAACGCCCACAAATCACTGAAATTAGTCAGTACCAACCAGTTGCAGCTTTAGATGAACACGGTACCTGGAATCGTGCGATCGTGACGGGTAAGTAACAGAACTTCGCGCTAACTGATCTCAGTCCGGAACTCAGGCCAGTTCAAAAACTTTTTGAAATCACGGTCAGGTCTAGATTGATCTGAAATTGATTAGTTCATAGTTTGGCGATCAAATCTATAAACTGCGTGCTAGGCAGAATTGAGTATGAAATCATTTTGTAGTAAACTGCTCATTATGGTTTTTTTTGCGTTTAAGTGCAGGATACGATCGCACCTCTTTTTTGGGCGCATTTAAACGTTAACTGTTACAGCTTTCCGTTTAAACTTCCACAATCCTTTTCTCCGTTCAAACGCAAATAATTGATTTTGTCCGATTTTTTTTGTTTAAATGGCTATGAAATACATTTGGTTTAACTCAGAGTATTTTTTCTTTTCGTTTAAACGCTCATTTTCAATAAAAAAAACAAAATAGTACGTTAAAACGAACAATTATTTTATTTGCATTTAAACGCTCAATTTATTTGTCTATGTTTAAATGCACTTACATTTTGTTGTCATTTAAACGCTTTCTTTTTCACCGACATTTTAACACAAGCAGTTCTGAACAACTTTTTTCCTACTCTTTTATATTAGTTTTGGTTAGTTGACCTTGGTCTGTCGTAGTCTATCTTACTTTGCTTAAGCACAAGAGTCCTGGTTGGACTTCTCTCCCATGGACTCTCAGAAGTAAGTATGGGACTGAAGAAATTTCAAAGTATTTTTGGTAGCAAAGCAGAGCACGACATGTTCGAGGTTTACACAAATTTCGCTTTTTTCTTTCACAGAGTGGTATTTTATGTTTCCGTTTAAACGCTCTGTTTTTCTCGTTAAACAATTACTTTACTTTTATTAATTTTTGTCGAAACAATAAAATCTGGCGTTTAAACGTAAACAATTACTTTTTAATTTACGACACAATTTTTGTTTTGGGGCAGAAATAGATGTGATCCCGGAAAAATGGCAGAAGTGATCCCGTTTAATTTCTTCTTCAGTTGTGATTCTGGTTTGCGCTTTGATTACCTGAACCGTGCTCTTCACATCTATCCCGTGATACATCTCCTAAATCTGTTATTCTTTATACAACGAAAAATGATGCATCATGAAATGAGCTTTCCGTTGAATTCGTTAAAAAGATAAAAAAGTTATTCATAAAATACGATGAGACTGATTTACTTTGCGTCACCCGTTAATCAGAATCACGCAGTTATCAATCTTTTAATTTTCATGAAAATATTCAAAAATAGGTTATTTCCCTTAATATAGGTTTTCTTCTAAAAATGACCTTCACCACGAGAACAAGCGTAGTCGATAATCTGTGAGTTAATTGCTTATACTTCGTTTTAGCATCAACTGGCTTTTAGGATTAAAATATAAAACTTGACTTCTGAAGAAACGGTTCAAGTTTTCTGTAAAAGTCAGTCAGAATAAATCCATGACTGCAGCGCTTAAAAGCTTATTTAGATAATGTTGGTTTTTTTCTTTTGTTACGTAAATTTCTTTACTAAAAAAAATACTGGCGACGAAATGACAAAGTAAAAGTGAGTATGCCGATTCCTGTCCAACAAAAACTAGACTTTTCATTATCAAAGTAAAATACCCTAAATTTTTTGGTAGGTTCTGTTGTAATTTATATTTTAATCAACATCAAAGCTTAACAGTCTCATATGTTCAGTTGAACCTGTTCAGAAAAACCTAAAACATCCAGAATATAAATAATTTTATGTCCTCTTAGCAAAGTACAAGATCAGTTTCATTTACGAATGACCCAGGTCAAAGATCTTGAGTCAAGATTTTGATTAAAACTTAAAAGATTTCTCAAGTTTCAAAATTAAAGCTCAATTCAAGATCTTACGAAAGATTTTTGACATCTGCCAAGATCGTGAGATCACCTTGCAGTTCAAGATTTCGACAATTTTTGTTATAGAATCTGCCTTGAAAAAACTTGATTAAGATTTGTAACTAATTCTGAGAAATTAATTAATTAGTCATTGATTAGTCAGTCAGAATCTTGACAGATTTTCGATATTTACACAGAATCTTGATGAAATCTTGAATAGTTTTTTGTGTTCGTAGCGTATTATTTTGAGTGATGAACCGATTTCACTTTTGTTCATTTAGATGTAGAAAAAGGTTCATCCCCCATCCGCATTCGTATTCTTTTTGTTGATGTTGGACACTGTGTGTATGTATCACGTAACAATATCAGACCATTACCACAAGTTTTTTGTCAAAAAGCAGCATTTGCAATACGTTGTCGGTTACATGATATTTGTCCATTAAATGGAACAGGAGAATCACAATGGGCATCGAATGATCCATTACACGCGGTGTTTTCGACATTAATGCCGCATTCTGCCACTGCTATAATCCGAAATATGCATGATAATTTTTCTTATTCTATCGATATTGAAATGCCAGGTACGTACCGGATTTGATTTTTTGCATTGTGTGAGAGAGAAAAAAATATTATTACACACAAAGTAACAGAGAAAAATAACATTTATAAAACGTGACTTATGTGAACCATAAGAAAGTCAACAACAAAAGAACGGTCAGATACAGATGTTTTGCTTCTAACTCGTGTGTATGATATTTTTGTTCATAAAGTGCTGACGATGATCTATGTATTAGATTGACAGCTCTACTTTTTTTTTGTAAATAAAAATGCTGGTTTTTTATAATGAATCTCAGTGAGTTTCAGTGAGTTTCTGTTATCTATCTGTGCTATTCTTCAAAATGAGACGTCAGTGTATTTGTAAACAATTAATAAATCATCATGATTCACAGTCTCTGATAATAGTGGATATTCTATGTGCAGTCTAGAAAGATAAAATTTTGAAAGGTCAATGTGCGTGCGCTACTCTGTATCATTAGAAGAATGGCCAGATCGAAAGATGGGTATGTTAGGAGATTCATCAAACCTTATTATTACGAATTAACTTGTAGTATAACCGCGATCTTAATCACGATTAGTGTTAATCGTGGTTTACACTAATTAAGAGTCTCTATATAATGAGAAAATTTTCCTTGAATGCAGCATCGGACAGCTGCTACACATGAATTTCAAAAAATTACTGTTTTCTTTTAAATTTGCTACTGAGATTGCTCGGTTTTTGTTATAAAACTAACGATCGGAAATACTAAGGCCGACATATCTCTGAATAAAAAACGTGGTCTTGATAATTTTTTCTTTGCTATGACTACTTTTCTTTCTAACCACATTAGACAACAACAATAACATTACAAGACACAGATTGTCACTGACCGGGGAAATCCATGGGCCGGACTAGACGCGGTCAAAGCTTATCTACGGGCCGCGATTTGAATGGCCGCACGCGGCCAAAAAAAGTACTTGTACTTTTACTTGTGTACTTTCAACAAATACTTTGTACTTGTACTATGAGCATATTAATTATCGCCAACGAGGGAACCTCGCCAGGTGTCTCACTCTGTTTAAACTCACATTTTGCTGATTGATAGGGCACATTAGTGTAATAAAAAGCCTAAAAGGATTTGGACTCATGCGGCTTTCTTCCCGACTTACGATTGACTTAGTGAAATTTCCGTTTTTGGTATTTCCACTGTAATGCACTATTCCAATGGATTAAAGAGCTGAAACTCGCAGCAATATTAGCCCGAAGCAAAGCCCGTATGCTGCAAAATTTTCTGACCTTAGTCTTATGTGCTTTGTGAGAAATCTAATTTTCTGCTTTTCAAAGGGTTTCTGCACCGCCTTGCGACCTTAATATGAAATAATTGTCTTTTCGTTTTCACGTTTGCTTTGATACTAATAAGCTGACAAAATCATTTATTATGTCGATCGGAGTGCTTTTCAAGTGTTTGCGCTATTGAATTACACGATTAGGTTTTTTTCCATATTCAGGTCGCAGGGCGGTGCAGAAACCCTATGAAAAGCAGAAAATTAGATTCTCACAAACGATATAGCCAGTTAAGAATTTAGTTAATCATGATCACTGCGGTTAGATAGTATTCATAATCTTAAGGAAAGGTTAACCGTGGTTGAAAAAAGTCGAGGTCAAACTAGAAAATTGTTAGTCTTGATTATCTTTTATTCGTGCTTAGCGATAATCGTGATTAAAAGCGTAGTGTATATTATCTTGACCAGCTGAGTACTAGTGCATGTTTAGTTTGCATTTCCCTTAATTTTTTCGTTTTGTATGTTTTATCTAATAAAAAAAATAAAAACAAAACAAAACGAATGGCTGACAGAATTTTCTTTACATTGAATCTCATTTTAGTCCTATCGTTGCCTGATCCTTTCAGAGTGTGATTATCTTATCTATTTTGAGTTTCATTTTTAAAAACCACTTTATCTTGTCTTAACTTTATAGTACATGGATATGTTGAAAAATCATTTCAACTATTTGTTCTAATCTATAATGTATCTACAATAAATGATTGTTGTCCAAATATGAAATCTAATTAAAAACTGGTCAGTTTCTTACTTTCATATAACCTCTTTATCTCTTGCCATACAAAAATGCGTGCGTGTATTTATTGCACACATCTTCCATGCAAGAAATAGTGAACGAAATCGAAAGAGAAGAAACAAAGTGTGTTTACATTTTTTACATAGGCCATGTGACTGACTCTTGATTTTCATATTAGATAGTGGAAAATTTTTTCTATTATATTTAGCTGAATTCACAAAAAGATGCATTGTACAGTGCTTGCACAGGTTTGCTATAAAGAATAATTCAGTTTTTTCCGTATTAAAGTCTTCCATTAATTCAAATTTATTTATACGTTGACAAGTATATAGAAACTTCGAGGTTGTCTTGGGTTCACACAAGTATATAGTGTATATAGAGCAGTACAATATACATGAACAAGAATGGCACACATTACACTAAAGTTTTTTTACTTAAGTCTGAGTTGAGAATTTCTTGTGAGACATATTGCTAATGTTTGTCTTCAAGGCTTTTTAAAAGTGTTGGAAGTTAAGTGTTAAAAGTATTTTTTTATTTTATTTTATTGTTATTCGTTTGTACAGTTGATGCCATGACGCTAATTTATGTTAAAATTGTCTTTTTTTCTCATATTCAACTTACATTTTTTTGTAGACTTAGGTGATCTAGCGACATATCTAGTTAATGAACGCTTAGCCTCAAAAATATCGATGCGTTCACAACAGCCACCTTACGCTGGCGACCTTAATTCACACATAGCTCTGAAGACTCAACAACAATTACCACAAACATCATCGTATTTGCCTCATACAATATCACAAACTTCTGAGCAACAGCGCCAAACATTGCAGCAGCAAAATGTTCAACCAGAACAGCGGATCTCTCGATCTCAACAAGCGAAAGATTTTAACATGTATATATTCTGTTTCAAGCAGAAATTAATAATTTTAACCTATGTGTTTGTTTTATAGGTCATCGAGAATTTGTCAGATACCTACTTGTTTTCCAGGTGAGAAACTTGAATTTATGTACCACCTCTTTTAGCATGTGATTTACAACTTTCTTTTTCTGTAGAAAATGGTCCATACGTAGTGACATGCATTTTTAGTCCAACAGAATTCTATGCTTGTTCTGACCGTCGATTAAGAGAATTAGAAAGATTATCATCTGAACTGGAAAGAATTTACAGTAATCAGAATATGGATTTAACATTGAGTGTGGCATTATATTTGGAAGGTACGGCGTGTGTAATCCAATGTGGGACCCGTTTTGATCGTGTTATCATCAAGCAAGTGCTATTACTTTATATGCCATTCGATATCCCATTCCTTATTCATATTTATCTAGACGCCGTGAAGGTGAATCACGTGTACTTGTTCAATGTGTTGATCGTGGTGATCAACTTGTCGTTGATACGTCCGAGTTATTGGCAATTGATGAAATGTATTGTCGTGTTCCACAATTTGCACAACCATTTCGATTACGCGGTTATGATGAAAGGGTATATTTTTACTTTATTTCACTTCGAGTATATCCGGAGAATAGAAGTCCAAATTAGTTTTCTGTGACCGAAATATTGTATCGCTGATTTATGTGACGGCAAAAAAGGACCTATGTGCTGTAACGAGTGGGTGTTCCAGCAGCAGTGAAAATACGTGTGCCTAAAAAAGAGAAGGGAATGTATAAATTTCAGCGGGAACATGTTTTTTTCTGTTTTAGCAAATCAATGCCAATCTTACTAGAAAATTAAAAAAAATGATACTGAGTCAACGCGTAAATATTATTTACTATCAACAGATGATAAACAATTTTTATCCAGTGGATGTTTCGTTGCAAGATGGTCAATCAGTAAATCAATTATTATTATCAAATGATCCATTTGTATGTTTATCAGCACTTCTGAGTTGTCTCTCATAAGGAAAAATTATGCTCCTTTCTCTTAGGTTTCGCCTGGTATGGCAGTTCAATCGGACACACATCAGCAACAAAGTGCAAAGTGCGTATTTAAAAGCTCAAATATGTGTCCTTTATTCAAGATATTCGAAATAGCCGCCTGGCTATAATACCGGATAATAATCAAATAGTTCTTTTAATTTCTTTCACAATAACAATAGATTTTTGGAACGCGGGGTTATTTTGAATTAGAAAACATATCAAAATATTTTGTTTTTATTTTCATTTAGATACCAACAACAAAATCCGTCCAGTTCTGCACCACAAATTCAATCTGGTGGATATGAGCCTATGAGCAAAGGTACATTGTAGTCTTACCTATTGTGCTGAGACTTTTTGAATTAAGTTTTCAAAACTTGACTCGCACACTGGATTTCAGACTTATCGCCTACTGTGTTTCAGTTGAATACTTCTTTTATTCAAGGGAGATTAAGTTCAAAAGAATAAACTTTATTCCGTGGTACTGTAGAATTAGCTTGATCAATGTCAGTTGTTTCAGTTTCTATCTTTTCATCAAAGCGTGTTTTTAACCATGTTTTGTGCTCGTTGCTCATCATTGTTACTCTAAAGGCTCCGAGTTTCGCCATTCCTCTATGGTGGTTAATGTTATGTGATATTCATACTATTTTCCTATTGTTTAATCGAATTTTCTCTTGTTCTGCTAGAGATTCTACAACGACCTGGTATGGGTCGTGTAAATGATAATTCTACGTCTCATTCTGCCTCCGATCAACGACCGTTAGGTAAGTACGAGCATTACAGTTGTGCACTTATCTGTTTTTGAGATAAACTATTTTTTAATTTTATTTAAACATTTTTTTCTGTTCAAGGCCGTTTTAATTCTGCATCAATGAATTCTAATGAACAAACTCAGGTACAACAACCTGTGAATACATACGAATCAAATCAACTACCACAAAAACGTTTAGCTAATATGTTTTCAAATCGTCAAGACCGTCCACAACAAAACTCATCAAATTGGTCAGGGATACGTGACACGAATAACAATCCAGTCACACAAGTGTTCCAGAATCGTACATCTAACAATCAATCTGATCGGGGACAAGAACAGCCGCAATCAATCCCAAGTTTTAGAGATCAAACTAATAATGCACCTGTAACAAAAACAACAAATGCAGATAAAGAATGGAATGCTGATGCAAAGGTATCAAATTTTGGCGCTCGCGATGAGACAACGACACAGAGAGACGGTGGCCACTGGAGATTTAACAACGATTCTGGTAATCAAAATAATAACGGTGAAGGACAACGGGGATCAGAAAGAGGAAGCTTTCGCGGTCGTAGTAATTTTAGTCAAAATCATGGAAGGTTCAACAATCGAAATGATCACGGCGGCAGTGGAAATGATAGAGAATCAACAGGTTCAGACAATTTTAATCGTCAGGACGGATTTAAAGATAGTAGTCGAGGAAATCGTGGTGGTTTCAACCGCAGCAATGGTTTCAATCGACAGCAAAATGATGAGAATGAAAATGAAAAGGGATTTGAAAATGGTATGTTTAATAACATCATTCAAAAACGTTCTTGTAGAAAGCCATATGTTTGATTTGCAATAAAAAGAGAGAATATTTAACTTAACGCTGAAAAAATTTTCGTTGGTTGTGAAAAGTTGGAAATACTAATGCAAAATGAGTTTAAGATGTATTAGTTGCTCCTTCACTAAAGGAGACTGCTTACATTTTTTTTATACTGTTTTTGATAATTTTTTCTCAAGGTGTTCGATCGCGTGGTGCTCGTTTCAATGGCAATCGAGGAAGTCGCGGAGGTAATTATTTGATTTTCACTTGTTTTTGCCTTTCTTTAAGTCAATATAAGAACTAGATCGTACAATTTAGAGTCTTTGATTATCCCGATTTACAGCTTCCCTAGGTGCTGCTGAGTAGTGAAATTGAAGTTTAGTAGGATGAAAAAATAAACAATTAGTGACATTCGTATTCATTCTATGTTGTAGAAAAAGAAAGTCTGTCTTTCACAGTCTATCTTTGCTTAACCCTTCGAATACCATGCATAGACTTTTTTTGTCTTATTTTTGTCCATATGAGTAAAAAATTACCATTTTTTGAATGTTTCGCCTATGTTGCGATTTTCTCTCTAACTCTTTAACGGAAAGTCACAAAAAGTCGAGAGGCGTCTTACCTTGAAGCTCGTTCAATTCTCTTTAAAGCAAAACGTCTCTCGACTTTTTATGATTTTTCGTTAAAGAGCTAGAGAGAAAATCGCAACATAGGCGAAACATTCAAAAAATGGTAATTTTTTACTCATATGGACAAAAATGTCCATGCATGGTATTCGAAGGGTTAATCGTGACTTAATCCTATGCTCTTTTTTAGGTCGTGGGGGTTATGACACTCGTGAAGATCGCGGCAGAAATCGTGGAGGTAATTAATTATTGCTTGTGCAGTTACTATTTGGATGCATTCAAAGTGTACTTTTCAATGCTCTATTTCTCGAGATAAACGTCAAGGCGCTTAAGATGCTGTGTATTACTATTCAGATACTCAAGTTTGAATCTTTTGAAGGTGTTCTTAATAGCAATATTAATCGCAGCTCAAATTTATTTGTCTTTTTTCCGTTAATATCGTTGCTTCATCTAATGTCAAACTATGCTATTCGTTTAGGTTATAGCAGTGGATTTGATCGTGAAGGACACGATGGAAGAAGTAGTTGGCAAAGCCGAAATGGTGCTTCTGGAGAACAATCAAAATTTAATACTTGGGAGTCAGCAGCACCAGGTGGCCATGATAGAGCCTCAAAATTAGCAGGACGGCATGATGAAGGCACAACAATAAGATTCGAAGCTGGTCATTGTTATGATGATTTTGTATTACCAACCACAGAAATCAAATTTGTACTTAGCCATGTTAACACACCAAGTAAAAGCACATGAGTAATCCTTAAAACTGTATGGTTAAATAATTTTTTACTCTTCTTTTTTAAGCGCAATTTTTCATTCAATTATTAACAAAAGCCGATGAAATAAGTCAATTAAGTGATACATTACAAAGGGAATTTAAAGCTGCACCAGTTGTCAATGCCTCATCACTAAAATTTGGACAAGTTTGTTTATCAAAACATACAGATGAGTGTTGGTATAGAGGTAAGGATTTTGGAAGCTCATGTGTAGGTTCACAACTATAATTTTTTCAAAGGAAGCGACTGCAAATCGAAAACAGTTTTTTGCTTCATAAAATTTTTCTTTTGCCCTAGAATTCTCTTCAAGGTGTTTCTCGCTGAGAGGAACCGGTTTATATATTTCCCCTTTGACTATTGGCCTATATTGCTGCAGTGTTTTTAATATAATGTGTTATTTTCATGTAGCTTCGGTACTAACGGTCGATGGAAATAAAGCTAATGTTAAATATATTGATTTTGGCAATTGTGACGATGTTGATACTAAAAATATACGTCAGTTATCAAAAAAATATACATCGCCTGCTCCATTTGCTTATCCATGTTTATTGAAAGATACTCAAGGTAAGTTAAACACGAAATTGAAACTAATATAAGCAAATAGACTAATTCAATAGACTATACTTTTAGTCTAAAGCGATACTTTTAGTAATATTAAACTTTGTCCTTCTCATATTAGCTGTGGAGAATGTTGATCTCCGTACGGTTATTCATGCAGTTGATGGCAAGGAATTCCAAGGCACAATTGAATCAAAAGCAGATGAAACTTTTATTCTTGTTTCCGATAATCTTTCAAATTTGTTGAAAGATTTAAAAGTAATCAGGTACGCACATGAAACTTCTAGACATTTGTAGTACTTACTAGACTGTTTTCAGAATGAATAAGCAATTTTTCACATTAATGTCGATTACAAAAAACACAATGTCAGCGACTGTTGCACAAGCGAATACACCAGACGAATTTTATTTACACGATGATGAAAAAAGTAATTGAGTTTCTTTTGCCTCATTTATGTAGATCTAATTCATTTTCTTCAGGCGCGTGTTTGTCACAATTAATGAAGCAGTTAAGTCAAGAATATACATCAACAGCATCGGTTTCAGATATCAAACTACAAGTAAATCAGCCATGTGCTGCATTAGTCTATGAACAGTGGCATCGGTAAATTTCTCTTTGTAGTTTTAAACATAAAATATAAGTGTAATTTTGTTTCATTTAGGGGTTATATAAATTCGATTGAAAACGATGTTTTAAGTATAAAATTTATTGATTATGGAACACAATCGATCGTGCAGAAAGAAGATATTCGTCCATTGAATGCAAAATATTTCAAAGAGCCAGCATTTGCCATTCGATGTTCATTATCTGGTTCACATTGTAAAGAATGGACAGAAGTTGATGATTTTTTTGATGCAATTGTCGATAAACCATTAGCGGTAAGTTTTTCGTCTGCAAATCTTCTATAGAATATTTAAACTCAGAAAATTTATCTGCCAGTAGAGACGAACTGTTTTTTAAAACCCTGTGATTAGTAATTGTTGGTTTTAAGATGGCCTTTTTTGTTATAGGTTGATTTACAAAGTCATGTTCAGCCAATTTTAGTCAAACTAACATTAAAAGACGAACCAGAACAAAAATTCGAATCATATTCTCTAAAATCAGAATATCCGCCACATGTTCCATTATTTGATCCTGGTCTATCCGTCATTGTTTCCATTTATTCATCACCGAACACCTTTTACGTTCAACCGAAAGATGCTGATGTTGATTGTACTGCTATTAATGAAAAATTACGTGTTTATGCTGAAACAGAAGAAATAATAATATTAAATCAATCGCATAAGTACCAAAAAGATGAATTTTGTATTGCACAATTTACCACTGATCAACAGTGGAATCGTGCTAAAATTTTGTCAATTGAACAAGAAAATGTGAATGGCAATACGTCATTGTTATATTCTGTGATATATATAGATTTTGGTAATACTGAAAAACTTAAACACGATAGTTTACGACCATATGATCCAGAAACGGGCGCTATGCCACGTTTAGCTTATCATTGTGAACTGAATATGAATGATGTAGACGATAATACAAAACAAACTTTATCAGAACAAGAAAGAGATAAAATTGAAGATTTATTGTGCCATCATGATTTTCAGATCGAATTAGTTAATATTAGAGATGAACAATCATTTAAAAATAATGAAACACAACCAATTAAGATTAATGCATTTTTAAATGGTCAAAGTATAATCGATATGGTACGAAAGAAAGATGAACAAAAGCCACAAACAATCGATCAGCCAGCAATAACTGTACTAAATAATAAACAAGAACATGGTAATAATAACTCGTTTTTCTGTTTGAATAACTCAATTAACTGTATGGTATGTGTTTTTGTGTGCATCTGCCTAGAAACACACATCGTTTGTATTTGTTTGATGAATAATGACCTAATAAAAGGTGCAAATAAGAATTCAGAAAGTGCAGTAAAATTAGCAGAACTTTAACAAAGAAAACATAGTACATTGACAAGACGGACAGGTTTGCAACATACTGTAAAAACACATTCAGTTATTTGTTTCATTTCTCGACTCATGTACAAATGCAACCGCATAAATGAGTACTAGGACTCACTTTATCTTTTATATAGATCAAAAACTTGGCCAAGACACTCTTGCAGATTCGGATGAGTACTTTTCTCGAGCACTTTTGTATTTGAAATTCTCCAAATTGTAGAGTAGGGAGTGGAAAGTAAGCTTAGACATATTCGGTGCAGTTTCTCCAGGTATAGAAAGATCTATGTTTACAGTTTTCTCCGCATAAAGATCTGTGTCTTCGCAAACTTCTCTGACGAGAGATTTAATTCATGTAATGCGTGTGGAACTATAAAAGAATTGTTAGAACTTCTTCTCTATTCTCTTATACTTCTATTTCTAGTAACAATAAAACCACAGCCAACATGTACTGCCGGTTCAGCTGTAACGTTACCATCGGCAACAACTTCCGTTTCAATCAAACAGGATGATCAACGTATTCCTGTTACTATATCATACATCGAAAAAGATAAACATTATTTCTATGTTCAAACTGATACAACAACAGTTAATCAAATTAGTAATATTATTGAACAAGAAATGGATATTGCACAAGTATTGTCAATCGAAGATGTTAGACAGTTATTAAAGAATGATTTAGTGATTAGCATGTATGATGGAGCACCATTTCGTGCAGTCTTATCAGATGATATCAATAATTCCGAAGATAACGTTTATGTATACTTCGTGGATTATGGCAACGTTGATTCGTGTGTTAGTACAACCTTAAAAAAATGCTCAAATGAATTATCGGTCTATCCATATCAAGCTCGACGTTGTTTCTTTCATGGTATACAAAATGATAAACTTGATACATTATTTGAAGAATTGGATAGTTACCTTGAAGCAGCTGACGTTGAGATGAGTATTGTTAATCAAATATCACCTAATGAATCAAACAACCTTACGAAAACCCCATCAGTAGACGCGTCTAGTGTATTGTTATACGTTAAAGGTGTTTGTTTGAATGAAAAATATGGTTATCAACCAAATACAACAAGCACTTCGTTATCTTCTGGTCTAAGTAATATGGATACTGATTCACAAACTCACGACAGTGTCCTAACAAAATCGTCAACAGCTGCAGCACCCCAAGAAAATCTTGAACGACAAAATTCAATAGTTGGAAAACGAACAAATGATGAAATTAATGATTCGTCAAGTAGTGATCAACAGTCAAGCACAGGGGCAGTTAAGCGTCAACGACCCGAACCAGAAATTAGTTCAGGTACTTTACTATGAATTTTTTTTTCACAAGCTTTTTGCATTTGTTTTCAAAAACACATATTGATGAAAGATTCAGCATTGTCGATTACCTATGTTCCATCAAATGACGCGACTATTTGAAGTCACCGGGTACGAGTCGTGGAGCTCAAAGGAAAGCCGATACTAGTTAGGCGTGTGTGAAATAGTTTGTCATAGCTGAACCATATGGAAAAATCTCGTATTAAACTCACAAAAGACGGTGCCAGGCTCCGTTAAGTTTCCTGTTAACATATATTGGAGAGCTTTTCAAGCGCGATGTTTCTATACCAAATACCAGTTGAATCCTCTTTTACTCATAGAAAAAAATGGCGATATAGTCATACACTCTTCAGCTGCAGATACCAGTTGCAGGGTTCGTATTAGCAAAACGTAGGCATAGGAGCAGGATTTTGAACTCCATTGTGGTAGGATCTATATTGGAAATGTAGAATGCGTGAAAAAAACTAGAAAACATTTTCACTGTTCACTGCTTTGGTATAATGAGATCCATGAGCTATAATTCATATATTTTTTTCATTTCCAGTAGAATATATAAATTAAAAATCTTCGCTAAAGAGTTTGCATGCTTTTAATATTCTAGTGCAACCAGCAGGAAACTATAACTCTCTTCTGATGAGTAGCGGATCCGGGATTTTTGCCGGAGGGAGTGCGATTGCTTGAACTTTTGAGGCTAGAAACATTAACAGTTTTTTTTTTGAAAATATTTTGGAAGGGAATTGCGATCGTTGCAAGCGTACCTCTCCTAAATCTACCATTGCTGCTGATGTATGCAGTATATGAAACTAAAACGTTTTAAAGAAAGTAACATAGAGAGCTTAAAACATAAAAAAAACATATGAAAGTCATACGTCATCATTTTACTAATAAAATGAAAATTTGTAAAAATCTAGAATAACCAAATCTTTTTATGTAAAATTTACTAGAAAAAGAAAACAACCTTATAAAGTAGGATGTGTAGGATAAAATTCCGAAAGTAGGGCAACGTAGGACGTTTGTAGTAAAAAGTAGGAAAAGGATGTTTACAAAGCCTGCAATTGATAAGAAAACATCTTTTTCTCTATGTTCAACTGGTTACTAAGGACGAGTACTATACCACTTTGTACAGTTTTTCATGGCCTATTTTTCTGCACCAAGCTTTATCCTATCTCTACTTTAGATTTTGAAAAAAATCATATTTTCGCAAACACTAATGCATTTTGTATACCGTCACAAAAATCACAATGAAAGATTGTCTAGGATGTTTCTAAGGCTCGGCTATACTGAGAAATATGCAGAAACATTTTCTCTACAAACTCCAATTGAAAGTAACTTAAAACACCAGGATCAGAGTTGGCTTAAAATTGACCCCCGTCCTTTAATTCTTTCGTGAGCGTTATGAATAAGTGATACGATGATTTTTCTCTATATCTTCCAAACAAACAGAGAACTCGTACTCTGTTTTATTTTCTCTTAACACTTCTGAGCTGGAGTAGTTGGTGGATAGGAACCCTGTGTTCTATTCTATTTCTCAAGTTTTGCCTAATTGACCGAGGTTTACTCAGGCAAGTTTAGTCGAATTTTGTTAATATTCTAGATTTATCAGCAATATTCGGTCTTAAATTGAATAAATCTTCAACTTTCTTTTTGTTTTAGCGTTGTTATCATCGATCATAGAAACCGGCTTCCTAACACATGTTGATCCTGTTGCCCCATTTATTTATGTTCAAACGTCAGCCGATATTGATACACAATTAGAACGTGTAAATGGCTTAATCGAGAAAATCGATAAAAAGACACCTGGTGATACATATAATGTTGGTGATTACTGTATAGCACAATTTAGTGTCGATAATGTCTACTATCGTGCAAAAATTCAATCGATAGATAATGATTCATATACCGTTTTTTTTATTGTAAGCTCTTTATTTATTTATTGATCGAAAACAGCTAGTTGCATCTATTTTCAGTCAAACTATAACTCAACAAACTTTATTACTTAGTAATATTTTATTCTAATTATTTTAGGACTATGGTAATATCGATGAGAATTTAGAAAAAAGTAAATTACTGGACTATTCAGACGAGCTTAAATCAATTGAAGCACTAGCAAAATGTTTTCAGCTATCAAATATAGATCGTACAAAATGGACAAAAAACATCTTTCCATTAGTCAATTCAAAACTAAATGAAGTAATCGAATTCTATTATAAAAATGAACAAAAAACAGAAATTCACATTAAATTTGATAATGAAAATGAGATTTATCAATCATCAACACCACTTTCGTCCTTTGATTCTACATCATCATCGTCAAATAAAAATAATTCGGAAGAAGAGGAACAACCAATCTTGCAAAATGGTGGTAGTGATGAACGGATAATCTCCGATACAGATATGCTTTCCGATACACCTGTTGAAAAACCAGCAGATGTTAGTTTCACATCACAAAAAACATCGACACCCACAGGTCCAGAAAATGGTAGTGATGAACAACAACGTATGCAAATATCGCCCTCGAATAATGACTATAATGAACAAACTGGAATACGATCATCTTCAACAACTATCAAAGAAAAACAACATACTGAACTACATCTAAATACACCTATTAAACCACAACAAATATCTGCATATTGTTCAAAACATCAACAATCACAAAGATTAAAAGCAAATGTTTGTGGTACAAGTGATATTTATTTTTTTATTCACATTGTTCCCGAATCAGAAGCTGAAATATGTAAAGTTGATCAATTGTTACAAGAGCATGAAAAACACAATAAATCATCGTTTGATGAATGGAAATTAAATGATTTGTGTATTGTTGCCGTTGAAGACAGCGATGAACAAATGTATTATCGTGGACAAATAATGAAAATAAATTCATCAACGAAAACGTTCGATATCAAACGTGTCGACTATGGTAATACATTATTTGATATTCCATTTAAACGCTTATTCGAATTAAATAATGATACTATATTAAAAATACGGTTTATTGCTAATAAATGTCGTCTATATGCTGTTGAAGATGACTACATGCAGTATGCGATTATGGATATAAAGGATACAATTGGTCATGAAGATATTGTTGAAATAATTGTTATTGATCAAACGGAAGATTATCGACTTGTGATACTATTTTGGAACGATGAAGTTTTCAATGATAGATATGATCATTATAGTACATATATGCAAAAGGTGAACGAGTTGTTGTCTTTTTAGCAAAGTTTTTCCGGATTTAAACAAAAAAATTAGCTAAAAACTCTTCGAGACTGAAGTAGTACTATCTGTTGGAGAAAGCTGTAGCAAAATTTTCAGTTACAATCATCTTGAACAGTTGAGAACAGACTAATAAACGAGTCAGTAAACTGAGTTTCTTCCACTCGTTTTTGTGAAAGCGTCTCGTATTAACCTTATACGTGGGCATCTCCGTGCAATAAATTTGTCCTTAGTATATTATCAAATAAACTCTCCATTTGAACTTTTCTTAATTGTGTCTGTCGTATTATCTCCATTTATTTCTCTATTCAAGCTGAACAGAAGAGTGTAAAACTGTAGTCAGTTATCTGGGAAGATATTTGCTACACAACCAATCATTTTTCTTGTTTTAAATCTTTAGAAAGGTGCTGGTCAAATAACAACGTCAAATGGCCATGAATCATCATTTATTGGTGCTCCTCAAGCTGAAAGTACAGCATGTGCAAATAATACAACAACCGGTGGCGATAATGATTGTTCGACATCATTGTCTAATCGAACAATCGATTTTGGTGAGAACGATATGACAACAGTGAATGATGAAACATCGAAACTATAAAATAATGATATCTAAATATTATAAAGTAATAACAGATACCCCTGTATAATTAATTGCTCTTCGTTATTCAGATCGAGACATATGTTTGCCTGTGATATGAGAATATCAGTCGTTCGTACGTTTTCCGCTATTAGTATTTCGAAATTTTTGTTTCTCTTCTTGACTACCGTCAATAAACAAACTCATCGTACGATTTTTCAACGCCCATTATGCTTTCTTTCATTTTTTGCTGTTGTGTTTTTCTCTGTCTATCTTTTTGTTGTTTATTTTTATTTTTCTTCTTTCTCTTGTGTGTATATATGGTACTAAATGAGATTAAAAACACGAAAGTTTGTGTTTTTAATTTTTTTTCCACTTTTTCGTTTAAGAAGCAGAAAAGTAAAAATTTAGTTGATGATGAACAATTTAAAATGGACATCGTGCTACTTCCTGCTACATATTTTCATAGATGTGTTGTTTTTTCCATTATCTTTATAATATAAATAAACAGTTATTCTAGTTCATTACAATTTTTTTTTCATATTTTTTGTATGTTTTGTGCAAAGCATTTTAAAAAAACCTCATTTACTCTTGTTATTTGTTCATTTATATATCTTTCACATTTTAAAAACAATTTTTTCATTATCGCTATGTGTGTGTATGTTCTTGTTGATAGAGTGAGATTTATGATAAACAAGAAGAATAAAACAGTAGAGCATGTATTGTGTACATGCAAAGTCAATGTTATCCAACGAGAGTTGCATACTGTCCATAGCCTAATAAGGTGTTTATGCTGATACTACTATCAATTTTAGCAGTTTACACAATTGCGCGGATGAATTAAGTCTTTTTGATTATCTGACTTTTGAACAGTTGGTGATCTGGGAGACAGAACAAAATTTGAGTGATCACCTTGCAGGTATGACTTCTACTGATCTGCCGTTCTTTTTTCTGACAGAAAGAAGATAGAAAGAGATAAGTAATATGAGTAAGATCTAGATAAAGTAAGGCTAAATTATTTTTAATATAAAAAGAATAACTTACAGTTGAGCCTCTTCTAGTGAACCTTTTTCCGTTATGGCGTATCGTATGAAAACCTGTTAGTTTTTTATTATGGAAAGACAAAATCAATTTGATTTGACATATTGAAAAGGTTTGTACAAACTGCATACAATCACGAAACATTATTGTTCTGGGTTGATGAGGTAAGTTGAGAATTATCAGATTACTCATCATCAATCTGGGTATATATTTTATCTCGTTTCTATTTAAAATAAACTTTCAGAATTTCTATTCAGAGTAGTAATCATTTTGGTAAAAAGAAAACAAAAAGAAAGAGAAATAAATCAAAATACAGCAAATGAGCTACTGTTCGTAGCCGTAGTTTCAAGCGTTTATGTCTGTTCTTTCCTTTAAACTATTTTTGTCTCTTAATGGAAATTATCTAACGTACAGGAGTGCTGTTGGCTGATAGTTTAGATTTCTTATTAAAAAAATATTAGACACCGTATGATTGAAAAAATATAATAAAGCATATTGACATTCTATCTCTATAAACGGATATTAGAACACCACGCAATGTAAAATCTTCTATGAAACACAAACCATTCTTTCTCGGAAGATTACGTTTATTTCATTCCTACACTTTTGTGATGTGTGTACGTTACCTGTTCTATTCTGATATTCATTACTGCTGTTGCTATATTCGGTATCCTTATTCTATTATTTTAATTATTGCCCTTGCCACCTCAATTATTGTTCTTTTGTTATAATTCTATAGAGCAATATAAATAGTCTTTCGTTTCTAAGAGTGCATTCGATGTATGAACATATGATCAAGTTTTCTATTTGTGAATCTTTATAAGATGATGACAAATATTTTTTATAATTCAAAATACAATAAGTTATATATTCAATCACCACTTCTGAGTTCATTGTCCATTTTTATTATCTGTATATCAGCGAAGCGAAAGAGAACAGTCTGCTGGTATTGTGGGATTCTAAAAAGAATTGATTACTTGTTGGATATATATACTATGTCACTTTTCTATCGTTAGGCCACTATCAACATATGCAAAAAGAAAATAAATGCTACACTGGCGACATAAAAGATCAAGAGAATTAAAGGACCAAAAAGCACTACTCTTTCACGAGCTGTTATTGTTATTTATATAGTTCATCAAACAGTAATATTTTGAAAAAAGCGCATTCAAGTAAAAAAACATATATCCATTTATAATTAGTTAATTAAATCGAAGAAATTCTCGTAACTTTGTCTATCCTAATAATGAATAGTTGATATGATGCTGTTTTTAATAAAACTAAAGTGAGCAAAACATAAAAGTATCTAGAAGTTTCTTGTGCGAGTTGAAGCGTCCGCTATTTTTGTTTCATATTAAATAAAAATAGCAACATCATGACTAAGTTAATCTTTATTCACAAATATTTTTATTTTATGATTTTCTTACTATACTGAGTACTATTGTATTTTTAACAATGATGATGTGCTTGATACGTTTTTTTGAGATGCGATAGAATATATATGACTATGACAATTAAATTTCTTTGTATACTGGTGGCGTTCCGTTTATATTAAATGCATATGTAATTAGTTTATGCAATAAACTATTTAGAGGGCGATACGTGTTGCTAAGGAATATTTCTCGGTTTGCATTCATCGACTCACTCCGTCCGATGTTATGTTCTCTTGTATTAGTCATACATACAGAGGAGGAAGAAAAAATATACACAAGAACCATAGTTCTATTTCTATTATAATGATATTGGAATATAGATATTTTTATTTTTGTTCAGTTCACACATACTCAGATTATTCATCTAATAAGAAACCTACTTTATATAGTAGGTACAAATGTTTTTCTCTAAATTGAAGATCGACATATAATCTATCTCGTGGTGTAGATGAATGAAATTTAATTGTCACACATTCACACACACACATATACATCTTGAGTACTAGTTAAATCCGTAAACAATTATTATTATTTTCTTTCTCTCTACTCTACTTCTCTCTAATTCTATTTTTGTATTTATTCTATATTTTTTCTTCATACATATATAACTCATCTCTCATTTTTCTTTTTTATGTTTGTACGAAATTGTGTCGAAGCGAAGTAATCGGCGGTAAAACAGCAACTATATATATATTCATAAATTAAGTGAAGACTATACTTTATTAGAAAAAAGTCAGTGTCGTGTCTTTTCCGACAAATTTTATTTTTTTACTTTTATACCTTTCTATATAATAAAAAAAAATATCATTCATGTATTTTATATCTTGTTCCCAAAACGAAATTCATTTATATCTCTAAAATTTTTTTATTTTTTAGAATAGAAATCTTTTTTATCTGTTCAAGCCTTGTGTGTGATACATCTTACCGGTCTGTGAGATATAAATTCATTCTCAATACAAACATTAAACAGCCATAAGCTTTACATTTAAAAATCGATCAAGATGAGCAACAAAGAAGAGGAAGTACAACGTGCCAAATTAGCAGAACAAGCTGAAAGGTAAGGATACATGTTTTTTATAGCTTTTTGGAGACAAGAACCGATAGAGAAAAGAAAATCACGGATGCAGAAGATTTATTGGACAGAAGTTTTAAGCATGAGATGATTCATGTAGTTTCTTGGCTTATTTATTCTATGTACTTTGCCCTTTACTCCATTTTATTGTTTGCTATGTTTAGATATGACGATATGGCTAATGCCATGAAAAAAGTAACGGAATCCAACAATGAATTGACAAATGAAGAAAGAAATCTATTGAGCGTTGCTTATAAAAACGTTGTTGGTGCACGCCGTTCGTCATGGAGGGTTATTTCGTCTATTGAACAAAAAACAGAAGGTTCAGAACGAAAACAGCAAATGGCAAAAGAATATCGAGAAAAAATTGAAAAAGAATTGAAAGATATTTGTCAAGAGGTTCTTGTAAGTATTATGTTTTAATCTTTTGTACTTTGAAATATTCATTTATTTTTGATTTTTCAGACATTATTGGATAAATTTTTAATTCCAAAAGCTACAACAGCTGAATCGAAAGTTTTCTACTTGAAAATGAAAGGAGATTATTATCGTTATTTAGCCGAAGTTGCAATTCTCGATGACAGAAATAGTAAGAAGAACGTTTGATGGTATATCTATATGAGTTGACTTCACTTCATCTTTTTTGTATTTGTAGAAGTAATTGAAGAATCACAACGAGCATACAATGATGCTTTCGATATTGCTAAAAATCAAATGCAACCAACGCATCCAATTCGACTTGGTCTTGCATTGAATTTCTCCGTATTTTATTATGAAATATTAAATGCACCGGATCGTGCTTGCCATTTGGCAAAACAAGTAAGTTCTATTAAAAGTAGAAACATTCTATTCAATCATGGACATCTTGTTATTTTTAGGCTTTTGATGATGCCATTGCTGAACTCGACACATTGAATGAAGATTCATACAAGGATAGCACACTTATTATGCAATTACTTCGAGATAATCTTACAGTGAGTACATTTTTTCTTGTCATTGTTCCGTTGCAGCATTTTTTACTAAGTGATTAATGAAATACAAAAAAACTGACTGCTAATAGTGTTCGACATCACTTACTACCTTGGATATCTGTGAGTTCATTACGGTTAGGAAGACAAAAATCAAAATATGTCTCAGCTAGATCTCGTTATAAACTGGTCCTGGGCCAAGATGTTACACGTTCACTTACTTGTACATCGTTACTTATGATCTATTATTTCTTTTTTTATGTAGTTATGGACCAGTGATGCTCCAGATGCTGATGACCAAAATCAACCGGAAGAACATAATTAAAAAGAAAATTTCATACACAACATGCCATCATTATACATGAAATGAAATGAGCTCAAAAGACTTCCAACATTAAGAAAACATTTGTCGGTTTTTTCTCGTATATTGCGCGAAATCGGTGTAACTTTTCTTTTTTTCTCTTTGGTTTACACAAACTTTCTGTCTCTATCTTTGTTTCAACAAAAAAAGAATAATTTGGAAATATACATACCAAAAGGCATTTTTTTCTATATTTTGTTCGTTATCGTCATGTATCATTCTCTCTTTCATTTTCGTCAAACAAACTATCTCTAAATATTTCGGTGTTTCAAAAAACAAACAAACCAAGATGTCAAAACGTATGAACCCCCAGAGTCTGGTTGTTGTTGCTGTGCTTTTTTTCATTTTTTCTTGGTACACTTATCTGTGCTGTCTGTATGTGTGTGAGTATAAAAACATCAACAGAGGAAAAGAAAAACATTTTATGTTTGTCTGGTTTTATTTTGAAAGGATTTTCTCTCTTTTTGTATAAATGTGTCATCGCTTTCTTCTCTCTCTCTTTTTGTGCGAGTGAGCGTGTATGTTTCTTGTGTCTGACACGTTTTGAAAATAAATTTTGACAAACGAAAATTTGTGGATTAAACTTTTATTTCATTAAAATCAAAAATTATGAAGAAATCTAGCCAGAATAATCATTTTTATATATAGATTGCTCGTTTCATTTTTTTGGTGTTATTGCAACTGATCGTTGTGTGATGTGATTGTTTTTTTCCTGAAAAAAACAGAATTAAACTGACTGACACAAAAGAATATGATAAGATTTCTTAGCGTAGATGGTACTTTATATATTGTTCTTTCTCTTTTTCTACTTAGTACTCATACATTTTTTTTGTTGACATATACAACTGCAAACAAACAAGGAGAAAAAATAGGCAACATGAAGTAGATAATGGGTTAATATTACGGTAGTAAGTCTGAATCGATCTTAATGTATGTTACTTTTATATTCAAAAGAAGAACATGCGTTATCCACCATCAGTTTTATTATATCATATTTTTACAATTGATTGTTGTGATCATTGCGCATGTCTTGGGAAGGAAAAAAAACCTGAAGTATTCTGAAATGCGAAAGTATTACTTTAGATGTTGTATAAATGCCATTCAAATGTCTAAGAAATGTGAAATGCCTGCGAAAAATCCCCTATGAAAATACCCTCGATTTATCTACTGCATTTCTACATGATAAACTCTTGCATTTAAGGATACCTTTATCATTTTGAATATGAGTATTAACTGAACATTATGAAAAGTAGTTAGCAAATTCAAACCTGTTTTTGATTGGTTTTTGTTATCTAGAGAATTTGTTGAACGAATAAAAAACAAGAACAACAACAACAATTTTACATGGAAAAACTGTTTCACAATAATTAGAAAGAGAGAGTTTTATCGGAAAAGCAGTAGTTGTATCAAGCTAACGATGTTGTTTGCTGTGTCATTACAACAGGTTTTCGCCAATTTTGATAACTAAAGAATCAGAAATAAATATATTTATGAATAGTTTAATCGAAAAATTTTACTACTTACAAATGCTCATGGGCAGTTCTTGTTTGTGCGGGTATTGAACATTTTGTTTGCTTCATTGCATCAACGAAATGACGTTGACAAACAACAATGGACATTTTAGTAGATTGTGGTAACTGCTACAAGTTAGAAAAATAACCTGTTACCGTTTCAGAGTTGTTCCACTTTTGAATTGATTAATCAGCACTTTGGTACAATTTCCTATCTTTTCTATTTAGAATTTTCTAAAAGACATGACTCACCTTAGAAAACATATCGATAGTGTTAGTAGATGATTGTATTTGTTCATCAAACGCAGCTAATTGTGCATTATAAATCAATGACTTTATATCGGCACCCATATACATTTCACATTTTGTTAAAAAGTCATCTTCTTCAAAATGAACATCATCTGCTAAAATTATTTTCGATGTCCAAATACGTAATATTGATAAGAGATCTTGTTTTGTTGGAAAACCAATATAAATATGTTTATCTAATCGTCCAGGTCTTAATAATGCTAAATCAATTAGATCGGGACGAGATGTAGCAGCAACAATAAATATATCTAAAAAAGAGAACAAAATACAAGTGAAAAAACATGAATGAAATTCAAGTACAATGTGATACCTCCTAGAGCTTCAACACCATCTAATTCTGTTAAAAGTTGATTGACCACTCTGTCAGTAACACCTGCAGAATCGCGACCACGTCTATAGTAAAAAAATAAAAATAAAAAAACATTTATATACGTACATGTCTTGAAATACATTACTTCGGTACAAGTGCTTCAAATTCGTCAAACATAATCATACACGGAGCTACAGAACGAGCTTTATTAAAGAGATCACGAATGTTTTGTTCACTAGAGCCGACATATTTGCTCAGCAATTCTGGACCCTAATTATTCGACATTTGTATAACAATTTTCAACAGTATATAATTAATAAAAATAATACAAAGACTTACTTTTACTTGAAGAAAATTAACTTTACACTCATTTGCCAATGTTTGACCCAAAAGTGTTTTACCTGTGAAGTAAAATGAGAAAGTATGACAAAATTTTCTCGTTCATTCAAAAGACCTCGGTTACTAGAAAAAGTTACGCTTACCACAACCAGAAGGGCCATAAAATAATATACCCGAAACAAGCCGAATTGGTGATTTAGAAAAATAGTTTGCATGCTAATGAGAAACAAAAGAACATTGTTGAACTTATCATAAACGAATAAATGAAATAAAACATACTTCAAAACGCCACTGAACTGTTTGTATAAGTTCTGTTTTAATATGGTCCATTCCACCAATATCAGACCAATGCGATTTAAACAAATGATTTTTACTTGTATCAAGCATTTTAACATTAATCGGTTTGAATTCATCAAATGCATATTCAAAATCAATTTCTTGCAATGAACGATCTTCTAGAAGAAATATAGCAGAGAGATATGTAGCTTTGAATTTTCAACACACTGAGTGAAATATATGCAGCATTCTGGCTTTTAAGCAGTTTTCTTTCTTAAGAAATTTCATGCAAATGTTTAGCTATCGCATTAATTCTCAATAAAAAAAACTGATACATTTTCTTGCTATGAGCAAATTAGATATTTTCTTCTGATAAGCAAAAATTAGTGTATTGATCAGCATCAGAATTTCTCCATTTTATTTTCAAAATCAATTGAATCTTCCACTAATAATTATTTCCTTTTTTAAACTCTATTATGTGATGGATTTTCCACATTTCTTTCTGAATATTTTCATTAAGAGTTCGCATCAAATAAACGTGATAATAAAAAGAAGGAAAAGTAGTTTTTTCATTTGTTTTAATTCTAACTAAATATGACAAAAACAGTAAATAATTGAAGCAATTGTTGTTAAAAATATTTTCTTTAGTTTTACTGATGAAGAAAAAGTAAAGAAGAATAGAAGAATATCAATGGAGGTTACAATTAAACTTTCTTATCATTAATTGGATGATATTAAATTAGTTTATGAAAGTTGAAAATACTATGAGGAATCTAACTTTCATAATATGCATATATAGTTTTTATTTTCGCATATCAATTCAGTCGCGAAATTTTAAAAGCGTGTTAGGCTAAACTGATTGCAGATTCGGACTCTTCATAGTCGATTACTTTGTATACAACAAGTTTTAAACGGGGGTACTCTAGAAAAATTTCGCCATCTCATGCAGGCCTTGGTGCCCTTCAGGAACTTCGTAAAAAATTCTTTTGCAAAATAATGGAGAAAATTTTTGCTGAAGTATCCCCCGCTTCAAAACTTGTTGCGTACAAGGTAATCGACTATGATAAGTTCGAATCTGCGATCAGTTTTGATCGAACACGCTTTTAAAATTTCGCGACTGAATTGATATGATCTTTTTTCAAATTGTCTGATCGTTAATAATAAATGTTAGTTGCATTTCTTTTTGTTAATGTGCATCAAGAAAAAAAAAATGTAAACATTGTTTATAAAAAAACAAAAAATGTGGTTGATGATAATGAAAAAGGCGATTCTATTCTAACTTTTATACTAGAAGACAATCAAATAAATGGAAGAATCTTACCAAAACTCATCCATAAATGTAACAATGCATTATCAATTAAAGCTTGAATATCTTTAATAACAAAGGATTCTGTTCGATTAACAATATTACTCAATAATGTTTTATCTATTGTCAGTCGTTTTTTATCGATTATATCTTCAATAATCATTGGTCGTTGAGACTAAATTGAAATATTTAAACATCTTTTAGAAATAGAATTTGTGTTTAAAAACCTACACTATTTAAATGTTCTATATTTATTTTTTCAGTAAAAAATACGGGAATACTTTCTGTAAATATTGTGTTTATACTAGAAACATTTTTTACAATAACAACAATTATAAAGTGTGGATGATAATATTGAATGTCATCAAATAATTCACGAATAGCTAAACAGTAAAAACAAGTTAAATTTGACTTCATATTTGATTGTTTAATTGACTGCATACTTAGACATAATTTTTTTGTTGCCAAAATGATGTTAGCATCTGTCAATAATGTATCATTAGGACATAATTCGTCAAAATGATCTAAAATAAGTATTGATGGCTTTCGAAATGCCATATCGTCTAAATATTGTGTTAATGATGTCACGATATTTTCTAATTTTCGTCCTTAAAAGTAGAAAAACGTACATCTGACTGCTAAAAAGAGACAATTTACACTTTTCATCTCATTTAGATATAACTGTTACCTTTGAATGTTAAACAATCGACTAATTTATAATAGATAAGATGTTTCAACCATAAATGTTGACAACAATGTAATAAAATTGTTTTACGTCCACTGCCCGAACGTCCTAAATAAATAAAGCATACATTTGTGAACTTTTTCACAAATAAATCCTAGTATTTACCTGTAATTAACACATTTCGTAGTGAATTATGATCAGTCCATATTGAATGTGTATTATAATGTAACTGAAGTTCGAATATACTTAGTAAATGTTCGGTATAAATTTCCATTCCTCTAAATACAGGTACATAAATCGGCCATAGTTAATTTTCTAAGAAAATTTTACCGTAAATTATTGCTGATGGAATATAACTGCTCAATTAATGGCAATTGACGATATTTCTCAATTGAATCGAGTTTTAATTCTTTCATTTCACCAATGGATATATCATACTGTTCAATATTATTCTCACAGACAGTGACATAATTTACTGTTTGAGTTTTGTGTACAAAATCGCTGCTTCTACTATCATTACTGTTGGTTAACTGAACTGTATAATAGGCTAAAGAAAAATTGAAAGATACACTACTACGTTGGGTTTTTTAGTACACAAAGCTAAAATGATTACTATCATCTATTTTGACAAGCAAATTATCTGACAAAAGGACGGGCTCCTCTGTAGTTGAAACACGTCGAATCCATTCTATAAAATAATGTTTGGTTAATAATACTGGTACCTGAAAAGAGAATTGAACTGTTAATTACTGGAGTGGATATTGCAAAAATCAATCCTTACATCTTGTGACTGTGTTAGTAATTCAACTTTACAATGTTGTCGTGGCGGTACTGTAGTATTAGAAATAACTATCTTGTCTGGAAAGAAAACGAATTAACTACATTGTTCATCTTTACGATATGGAAATAAATGCTATACCTGTCAGACGGATACAATTATGCTGACAAAATAATTTATTTAATAGGATATGGTTTTTCAATACGATAGACTTGTTTTCATCATCATCGATTAATTTAACAATTAGGCAAAATGAAACGGGAATATGATCGGGTATTGTTTGATCTGGTGGTGATTTGATCTAAACTTAATACAACGTAAAGAATTAGTTTTAGTTAAATCTCGTTTGTAAACGAGAATAAATACTTCTTTTGATGAACGATAGACTGTTGCTTTGACAACGAATGATGATGGCCAATTACTTTCGGATGACCAATCATTTCGATTAATGTGAACAAGTGTTGGCGAAAATGAGATGTTATCATCAAATTGTACGCGAAATACATGACGATTTCTACCAGGTACAAGTGTTAATTTATTTTCAGATATAGAAAATTCTTGTTTTTTTTCATTCAAGTTAAAGGTTTTTACGAATTGCGAACGAAAAAATGATCCCACTTTTCTTGTTAACAAATTGTAAGATATATAATTGTCGTTTTTGCCGTGAACAGTAGTTAAAGATGGAGAGTCGTTTAGTATGGGTTCTGTTTCAACGCGTGAATTATGATTTTTAATTTGTAAATTGTTTTCATTAGGTTCTCTAAATTCTGGTACAACGGTAACGTTTGTTGTTGAAGAAATTAATGCGTATTTGATGTCGGACGGTTCAATAACAACTGCATAAAAAAACAACAACAATCAGTTTAAAGTATCTTTCATTACACTTTCTCTTTGACTTCGAACATATAGTGTGCACTATCAAAGACATTACCTACACGCATCACAATAGCCACGCCTGATAACCATATTGGAAATGTCATATTTGGCCAAAGAATTCGAACTTGATTTAAAAAAACTTGTTCGGTTACATCTGTATTGCATTGCTAGACAAGAAATAATAATTTTCTATGTACATTAAAAATATGTTCATTTACTTACTAGGATATCCCAATCGTCAACAGACAAAGGGCAAAATGTCATTGCTTGTGCATTACATGGTTCACTAGTTTCTTCAATTTCATACTAAGGAAATGCATATATAAATTAAAATGTATAATAATTTTTTTGTATCCTATTTTACCCATTGTTCAATATGAATATTGATTTTAGCTGCAAAAAATCCGTTAATTGAAAATTGACCATTTGTTAGGGTATAGTCAGCTATTGTTGAAAAATATAATTCATTATCTTGAAATTTAATTCGGACAGTTGATACCTAAAAAAAATTACAGAACAAATAAAAAATTTTTTTTCTTTTCTCCAACTATTATAGTGTGTGGCCCAGCCGTTTTTTTTCTGCTAGTGGGAGTTGGTCCAATGATCAAAAATTCCTAGTTACTCCACTGCTTGATCTGCCAATAAGAACGAGTTGTTCAGGACCTAGTACAATATCTAATAACCCTTGTCTGATCTCTAGAAGCTTTAAAACAGTGCTCATCGTTGCAATTATTACTATATTTGAGGATTCACACTTAAATAGATCACATACATTGAAATCTGAAGCGTTCTTCGTAGTATTGAATGATAATGGATTAATACCAAGAAAACAATTTCGATTTTTCGAATAGACACATCGTAATATGTGCGTTGTCATAGTCTAAAAAAAGAAAGTTAATCTAAACTTCTTTATTTTACAACAAATCGAACTGGCTCATTTACAAGTTAAACAAATGTGAGAATAATAATAAGACGACAGTTTACATGCATAAAGTTGAGAGTACGGTGTGTGAGCTAAACGAATATTAAACTGCGTAAGCTTTAAAAAAATCCTTACATTAGAGATAGATGAAAGTCTAACTATAAGTTTCAGCTTGTCAAATTATTTCTGTCAAAAATTGTTCAATTTTAATATGAGACGTATAAATATAAGTTCTGATCAGTATTTATGTCCACACGAACCATGCTTAACTATGGATTGGATTATCGCTTAAAACTCTGAACCAAACACTTCTTTGGAATAAAATTCATTGATTTAGAGTACTAGTAATCAGTGAGGACATGAGAAACATCTGTTTATCTTTTAATTTCGTTAAATTCTAAATAAAAACACTTTCTAAATCTTTAATTTTTGTATTTTCTATCAGTCATATTGTTTCTCTACACTTTTTTCTTATTTTTGGGTAATTTGTTATCAATCCTTCTTTTAGCTGTTATTATCGGTTGTTATTTTCGGCTAAAAGAAGATAACCAAACAGAGAATCAATGATATTTTTAAGATGATATGAACTAATAAAGTGATCCACATGAATTTCCATGAAACAGAACAATCATATGACAGATTCACGTTTATTTGCTCAAAATTTGGCCAACCACGGTAAAAATCTATTAGATTGGTCTATTTATAATACTGTAAAAAACCGTTAAAAAACCCGTCTCGGTCAGATGTTGTAGTTCTGTTTCAAGTGGTTCGTAATCAGTTTCTACAATAAAGAAACCGATTGCGTATATTTCTAAAATGAGTTAACGTCGTAAACAATATGAAGGTTTAACTGCTAATAACTAAACATGGTTGATTAACATCAATCAGCCGATTACCTTTTGCACATCTCATGATGTGAAGAAAGAAAAAAGTAGCGAAAATAAAAGAATTTGGTTTTAGCTAAAGAAATCAAGGGTTTGACGTAATTATACCTTGAGTTTTTGAGATAAGAGCGTTTAAAGTATGTTGGTCACAGCTGAGTTTTCTTTGACCATCCCTACGAATAATACTTACAGCAATTGTATCTAGCTAAAAGTATAAATTTTTGCCAGTGTGCATGCACGGTTTTCTTGAAAAAAAAAATTAAGATTGAAAAAGCTGCTATTTATGTCTTGTATTTGTTAAACAAAGAAGTTATTCAATTAGTCTAATTTTACGATAATATTTGTGTCCGAAAATGTTTGATGGTTGGTTTAGTGTGTCATCAACTGATTGAAGAAGATTTTCAAGAAACTTAACATAAAGTTATTACTAGCTTGGGCCGAACGGTGTCACATTGTCTGAAAAATTTCTATCGTCTTTGGGTAGAATATTTTGAAAGTAGCAAATATTTGATAGGATCTAGTTTTTCTTGTGCCATGTATCGTGTTATTTGTAACAAAACTTATTTTCCGTTTTGAACGGCTCTACTCTCGATATGTGAGAATTAATGCTCTAGTTTTCAATGCAATTTCTATCCGTCAGACTGGACATCTTTGACATCTTACTTACTCCTTTTATACCAAAAAGATATTTATCTATTTCGTTTTAGATTATAAATGAGTTATTACTGGTTGTGTTTTTTAGTTACCATGTGTATGTGCATATAGTTAGTTAGACATTTGTTTTTTCTGTTGTTGTATGCTTATTTTCTACTTTTTAAACACATAATTATCTCTATTTTACATTATATTATATCATTTGAGTTAACTACAAATTATGATATCACTGTTGCCATTATTTGTAAATAGATTATTCTCATTTCGATTCATTCGTTAAAAAATAAAATATATTATTCTAATTCGTTCTCCATCTATATTCGTTGGCATGAGTTTCCAGCATACCACAATTTGATCACTTCTCCGAGGTGAGTTGTTTATACCTTTTATTATTGTGTCGCCTTTTTTCTGCTGTATATAACCAAGTAAAGAATATGCGTATTGTAATTCTTGTGAACTAACAGTGCAGATGATCATTTAACGACTTTAACTATCCTGCTGGATAGAATGAGACTAGGACTCAAAACATTTTTCACAACATACACTTAGAGCTGACCAAACAGTTGCCTTGCACATCTCTAGTTATCTTGTCTGAAAATAATTAGTTTAGTGTGACATACTGTAGGTAGTTAGATTTTTTTTCATTTTTCACCAGATATTCCTTCTGCAGTTTCTGTTTCAAAATCGAGTGTTAACGTAGTTAGGTTCTAAATCAATACTGTGTATTTCTCACAAACGACTTAAGAAAATGACATATCATTGTATACTAGTTCAACTAGAGATCATCTTCGTTTTGTTGTACCCTTGAACGTATTAAATGTTTCCACAGTCTCGTCATCTTTGAGTTCTCTCTTGTCTATCATCATATTCCTTCGTTTCGTACGCATCATTTTTATCACCAGACATTGGAAAAAACAAAGATGACTTGTCATCGATGTGCATAAGTTTTATTGAATAAACTTTGTTCTATCAAAGAAAAACAATAATTAAATTGTTGAAATTACAGTCGAATCTTTTGGTTAAATAATGAAATATAATAATAATTATTATGTTCAAAAAATCAAAGACATTAAAATGCGAAACATTGTTATAGTAGAAATTTTAAATAATAAAATAATGACCGATCTGGTAATAATAATTTTCATAAAATAATTAAGACCAGTAGTAAGTATTTACACAAGTGTGTAAACTAATAAATAATCAGATAGCCAGTTTCATTTAATGAAAAAAAAATGATAGTCATGTAATGAACTATGCACTACTGATCAAATCGAAAGAATATGTAGAACAGTTAAAGTGAGCTGAAATTATGAACAATCCACAAACATGTCATTTTCTAAGAAAAATGCTTCAGACAAAGTATTTTCATAAGATGTTGTTTCTCAAAGTGTATCTTAATGTTATTAAATTTTTAAAAGTATTGGTTAAGTATTCTAAAAATAACCGTCTGAGAATACAATTTAAAAGAAAAACGATATTTACTTATATGTTTTTAAGTGTCCGCAGGAAAAACGAATGGCGTCAGTAAGGACATTTTATTTATTGCAAACAAAACAGAAAATAGTATCTTATTTGTTTACAATCAGGAAATAATGCTATTACTAGTCAATCATCCACCGTGTTAGAACTACGAAACTATAAGATTTTGTTTTTACCATCACATTTCCGTTAGAGAAGTTTTAGGCGTTCAGATTCATTTGCGAATTTGATGAGTTTAGCTTCCGTTTCAGTTATTGTTTTATCCCAAAGGACTTTAGAATAGTAAAATCTATGCACAAAGTGTATAACTTGGCTAAATGAGAATTTTTGTTTATATTTCTGTACGTTATGTAGAAGTTGTGAAATTTCTGCTTGACACCTATATATGTGTTTTTTTTGAATTAAGTGAATTTGGTATATGCAACCTCTGTCTTTGTCGTTATTGTCTGAATTTATTAATCTGTAAAACTTTTTTTTCTAAGCATAATAGATTTTTTTTTTGTATATTATAGTGATCAAATCTGGTTCTATTTTTTATTTCTTGAATGGAAGAAGTACGTACTGCATATGGAAAAACGAATTTAAATTCAGTAATCTCAACATTATTACCCACATCATCCTCAACAACAACAACAACAGTAAACACTCAATTAAGTAATATATAAATTGAATTTTTCTCTACAATGTCATATTGACTATGAAATTTTATTTTTAGATACTCATCGAAACGAAGCTATTCAACAAGCAGATGTTTCTTCTTCACGTCCCGCACTACTGGCACATGATGTGCTCGGACCATTATTATTTGAAGTATGATTCAAAAAATGAATTTCTTTGTTAACTATGTATAAATCACACTTTAGTCAACCTGCGCATCTTTAAATGATTACAATTCTGAGAATAGATGAAAGATGTTTATTTTTCATGGATCTACAAATTGATTAAGTGAAAGGTTTGAGAAGATGAGCGTCTATTATGTTGTTTGAGAAAAAAATATTTCTTGTTTTGACACTTTTTATGTCTCTCATTGTATAAAATAATCAGTAGTCAAGACACTATCTTCCAGTTAAAAAGACTTAGTTTCAAAAAATAACATCTAGAACAGATCATTATTATTGTCTAATACTTATTATCATATGTAGATGTTGTTGCTAGTAATAAATAAGTCTTTTACAACATTTTTTCAAAGATACGTAAGATAATTTAAAATTCTCTAACCAAAATAACTTGAATAGATAACCTGGCATCATTTTACTTTTATCCTTATGAAGAACGTTAAAAGTTTTTTTTATTTAAAGAATTATTTTGTCATTCTGCATCACCTTTTAACACTATGTTCACTTTTTCCATTTCGGTAAAGAATATGAAGCACATCTTCATTTTATTTTTTATGATCCTAGTGATGATTTTATTTTTTCCTGAGAAAAACGATGAAAAATGAAGAAAAAAAAAATGATAGGTGTAGTGACAAATGATGAAAGAATATAAAAAACAGAAAAGTAAATGAACAGCGGAAGTTTAGAAGACAAACGACGACGTTATAAAGGTGATATGTGCAATGCACGGTTCTGTGTTTTTTTTTGTGCGCAGAATGTGCGTCTGTGTGTAAAAGGAGGGGAGAGTAATGCTTTTCTAATAAAAAAATCGAAGAAAAGAAAAAGATGTCAAAATTTTCTTTTGATTATGAATGATGGTGTTTGTTATATTACTTTGAAATAACAAATAAAATAAAAAAGAAGAAAAATCTTTTTTGCTGCTTGAGTACACGTATACGTCTACACACATGCAAATGAAGACGTAAATATAGGAGAATAAAAAGTATGAAAAAAAAGAAAAAAAATAAGACGTGTGTTAATTGCATTATAAAAAATTTTTAATCTTCCTTATTATCATTATTATCAAAAAAAGCAATATTATCAAATAATAACAGAAGAAGAAGAAAAAATAATAAATGAAGAGAAAACGCAATAAATCAAAATCAGAAAGCTAAATGTACAAAAAAAAAAATAATTCAACATGTTCTGATGACATTGAACTTACGTCGGTAAAGTAAAAATATGAAAAGAATGAATGAATGATTGAAAGGAAAGGAAAAGAAGAGAAGAGAAAAAAAGAAACAAAACACACGAGATCATATTTATATTTTTTAAGATAGAAGAGTATTTTCTTATTTGCAAAGGATATAGGATTTATCATTTTGTAATCAAAATAAAATGACTTGTAAGTACACTTATACACGTGTACATACATCAAAGAAACGAAACTAATGATCTTTTTTTTCTTATTATTATCAATGAGACAGTCAGTTATTTACTAACCTCAAACTTCTGAACTAAAAGGAAAGAAAAACTAAAATAATTTTTCACTCGATTTATGTTAGTGAAAATTTAACTAAATAAGATATATTCTAATAGTATTCTAAATAGTATATATATTATTCTCATTCTAGGCACTTGATGGATTCTTCTTCACAATTAATCACAATTCTGAAATTGATTTTGTAAGTGATAATGTATCACAATATCTAAAATTTACTCAGGTATGTTTGTATGTGATGAATGGGTTCTTTCAACAATATTTTTGAAAACATTTTTTTTATGATTATTTATTTAGGAAGAACTAGTTGGTCGCAGTTTTTATCACTGTGTACATCCAGGCGATGTTGGTGAATTTGATAAAGCATGGAGAATATCAGAGAAATGTGCAGGTAATCATAATAATATTATCAATGATAATTTGATATTATAATAATTTCGCAAATATATTTTTTAAGGAGATGAGGGAAACGAAAATAACAACGAAAATCAATCACGTGGTAGAACATTTCTTTGTCGTATAAGAGCAAATGATGGTAAAATATGTTCTCAATTAGTTATTCTCTTCTTATTCTTTTCTAAATTTAGGTACAAAAGATTCAAATGAACAATCGTCTAATAATCGCTCAACGACTTATGTCAATATGCTTGTTTCTGTTGCTTTACATTATGATTCATCTGGTAAATTACATTTGATTTTAATTCATTGAAGGAAGATAAATGTTTGTGCATCGTTTCAGGTAGTGATCGATTATGTTTGGCATGTATAGCGAGGCGACCGTTAGAAAAATTTGATAAACCAGCCGTATTGGGTTTAGATCAATTTTCGTCACGTATTAATCTTAATTTTGATATACAATGTTTTGATTGCAGGTAGTGTATTTAGAATAAATAAAAGACAATTATGAATGAACATAACTGTAACTTTCTGTTATTAGTCATATGAAAGGTGAAAAAATAAATCAAGATTTTCAAGGGAAAAATTTCAAAGATTATGTGCATGTGAATGATGTAGCCCATGTGATACGACATTTTCAAGATGGTAAGTAGACCTATAAGCAAATAATCAGTTATCAATAAATATGTTACACCATTTTACTTTTCATTTTAGTTATTGAAAATGGAGAAGCAAAAAGTCCAGTGTATCGTTTTCGATTGCACGATGGTGCCTATGCGTTTGTAAATACTAGAAGTAAATTATTTTCAAATCAGACAGCAACATCAACATCAGATTCTATACTTTCGACACACACTATCATTCGGTAGAAATTAGTTTCTTTTATCAGATGAGTATTTTAATTTATTTTTCCAAAATTTTAGTTTAATTGAAAATTCAAATGATTTACATGGAAATGCAAGTACGCGTTTAATGAAATCTATCATCAGTTCAACACATGAACTTGCCAAACAAACACAACAACAAAAACGAATAGAACAACAACAGCAACAAATTCAAATTCAAAAACGACAACAGCCCATTGGCACTCAGTTTGGTTGGTATCAATCTTAATTACAGATTAGCATAGCATCGTAATTGATATCGTTTTCTTTAGCATTAACGATGCTTGGTGTGCATCAAAATACTGTCACAAATCTATTATCATCGTCGTCGAATCAACAATATTTACAGCATACATTAGGAAATTTAATTGAAGTTCAAAACTCACTGCAGCAACAGCGTCAAGAATTATCAATGGCCACCACACCAACACCATTACTAAATATTAATGAACAGAAACAATCACCAAATGCTCTTTCATCACCAACAACACCTCAATCACAATCTTCATTTTCATCATTAGCACGAGTACTTGGATCGAGAACACTCGATAGTAAGTGAACTTTGTTCCTACATAACAATAGCTTGTGTTTAACGATTCAATATTTTAACTATTTTGTAGGTGTATCTTCAACAAATAGCGTTGAATTTGGTGGAAAACGTATGACTCGTCCATCCAATGACAGTTCAAACATACCATCTGGTAAAAATCTTGATACTTTTCTTAACCTGCTCATAGTTTAGTTAAAATGAAAGAGAGTATCATTTCTTGTCTTCTTCTATATAATAAACAAATTGTTTATTCGATTTCAGTGCATTCACCTGTGACATTCGACTTACTGCTTAAGACATCATTATCTACTACTGCCACATCTACATCTATTTTTGCATCACCTTCGCCATCGAACATAACAGTGACTTCTTCGTTAAACTCATCTTTATCTTGTCCTTCTCCTTCAACGTTAACTAGTACGAGTTCACCATTAACAATCCCAACAAATGATTCGTATTTGCATACAACGGATGTGTATACATCCACAACCACTTCGACCTCAAACCACAGTACAATGCCTATCAGCTGTTCCAGTGGACAACGTCACTCGATGCGTTTAAGGCAATTATTAGGCGAAAGAAATATTCCTTCGTCACCAAATTCTACTAACTCTGTACCATCCAGTCCACAGTCGAGTACAATTCATTATCATAAATCGCCCAGTAACAATATAACGCCATCATCATGTTCAGGAAAACAGAATATAACAATCGATGAATTACTTCAAGCTGAAAGTCCAACAACCACTACTCAGACATCGCCACAGGAGACGCTAAGTGCAGGAACCAAGCGTCGACGATATCATAGTGGAAATATATTTAGTTCATTAAATAATTCTGATGCATTACTAAAACAAATACTGGCAAAAAAATCGACGACTGTCACAACAACACCATCAACATTAACTAATACTTCTTCTCAATTAAATATAAATAACGAGTCATCATCATCGTCGCCTGCTTCAACAACATCATCGATATCTGGTGCTAAAGTATCACAAACAATTAAAACGGAACCAAACGCCAATGATGATAACATAACTGGCTCAAAGCCAATAAGGAAAGATCGAAATGACGTTTTTCTCCGCGTAAGTTTAGATACCGGTTTCCCGTTTTTACCTTTGCAAAGCCAAGTATCATGTTCAGTTTAAAAAAAAGCCCTTCTATTTGTATAGTCTTCAATCATCAACGCTGGTGAAAGCTGTGATCATATTGTGAAAGTTATGACATCATATAGAAGGACTATGGAAACTTTTCATCTTTCTCTCGATTTGCTGTATTCTTGCTTGCCTCAAGCAATTTTAGTAGTTAACGATTAAAAAGTATTTTTAACGTCAAACATCCCAGAGCATCGAGCCGCTTTCTTTTGCTTCTCAATCTGTAGTTTATCATAATCAACAGGAAGGATTGTATCCTTTTGAATCATACCTTTAAACGCGAAAAAGTAACATTCTTTCCTCTGTTCTCTTTGATTAAACGTTAATAAAATATTGTTCATTTCTATCCTTTACTTATATTTAATCGATATTAACGACTTATTTTCTGAAGAAAACATGAGAGCAATTCAACTGTGTGCATTTCAGGTTTTTCCTCATTATTCTTGAGTGCGAGAAGATATAGTATTCAACAAAAGAAAAATTATTTTTACAGTTATCAAAAATGTGAGAAACTTTTCTCTTATTCAAAACGGACTAGAGAAATACAGTGACATCATCCAAAATTTGATAGAGTAAAAGTTTTTTTCCATGCCAAAATAGATTAAATGTCCAAAATATATCAAGGATACTTTAGAAAGATAATATTTTGGCGATAGCTGAACATTCTCATTTCTTCCATCATCATTTATTTCGTCATTATCGAACAAAGTTTTAAAGATAAAAACATGTACAGATGAAAGATAAATTGGCATCTCTATAGAATTATGAAGGTATTTAACTGACTGATAAAGTTTTCCTAAAGTGATGTATCAAGAATTATTTCATCGCCAGTATTAGTTTATTTCAGTTTTTACTAATGTATTTTGCTTATGTTTTCTTTAGACATTGCTCAATGATGAAGTTCGACCACAAAAAGTGGTTGTCGAAGCACCATTTGTTTATGGATCAAGATATAAAGCAAATAGCAATGGAAATGGACATGGAAATGGTAAGGGTTTAACAATTTTCTCATTATCTTGTCCGAACCTGAGAAGTCAAACATCAGTGTGCCATTTAGATGAAAATGCCGTTTCCATGAACAAAAACCAACGACGTAATCCTCAAACACATGACCATCATCAGCGAGCCGTTGTAGCATCGCCGACGTCTAATTCAACAATAAAAAAAGAAGTATATTTATGTTATATAATTGTCTAATTTTTAATTCATATTATTTCTGTTGTTTAGCCAAGATTGGATGATAATAATTCATCTTTAAGCGACATCCAAGATATTGTATCGACAACAACAAATGAAGCACCCGATTCAGTTATATCAGATACATTAGCCAGTCCATCGTTAGAATCATTATTATCCGATTCATTTCAACATGATTCTCATCAATCAATATCACAAAAACAACGTACAAGTTTAAAACAACCATTAAAACGTTCGTTGGAACATGAAGATGCAGCATCGGGACGGAAACAACAGAAACTTCTACCACAATTACTTACTGATGATAAGCAAGTGGTTATAAAAACAGAATATAAAGAGCAGCAACAACAACAACAACATCCAGATAAAACAACATTGGCAAGGAATAAGGTAAATAGAATTTGTAGTACAAGTTGTAATTGATGTGTAAAAAACTACTGTAAGTCTATTTTGTTTTTTTCTGTTTAGTCTGAACATTTAGCAACGGAATCGGACAGATATGATTATGATAATATAAATACTCAGTTATCCACATCAGCTCGTGGTCAGTCATCGACTACAAATTCATCATCAAATATATTACGTTCTCTAATAAAAACTCCACATACGCCTGCAGGGACATCTGCAACAATCAGCAAGAAAGATGAACCATTGTATGAACTATTGCAGAATCTTGAAGCACCAGATTTATGTTTCTTACAAACATTACCGTTGACAGCTTCATCTAGCACATCGAATAGTAATCAAAATACAATAATAACGACAACGATGAATAATAATAATAATAATAGTGAAAGTTTATTTCATTATACGCCGTCTGTGACAACAACAAGAACAGCAACAACAACTTCAAACGATGATTGTTTAGCATTGTTATTAAGTACATCACACAACCAAAATGATTTTAATTTTTTACAAAAAACATCAATCTCAAAACAATCAATGAATAATAATAATAATAACAATACTAATAATTATAGTCAACAGAATAAGATCAATAGTATAATGAACGATCTATTTCCAGTTATCACAACCACCACTACCATAACTTCCACCACTACAACCACAGCAAACAACAACAACAACAACAACATTACATCAAGTTCAAATAATGAATTTAGTTCTCTATTCGATAATAATGATTTCTTAGAGGTAATAATAATAAGAGCCATTGTCTGTAAGAATTACCAAGATTAGGAAGCTGATGATCTCAGAATTGAATGCATGACTACGAGTCCCAAAACCGGTGTCAAAGCTTTTCAAGTCCTTCGGTTGTTGAGTTACGGTAGTAGAAAATTGCTCCTCTTTATGCATTTAGCAAAAATATTAAAAGCATTTTAAAAATATTTTAAACAGCCTGTTTTGTCGAATTCGACGGGCTGAATATTTTTTCTGTCGGATGCGGATCATAATAATGTAAAACGGCTTACGAGGGAACGTCTTCAGAAGCCCATAGTCGATTTCAACGATCTTTTGCCGATAGATACTGTGTAGTACCTTAGTAAAAAGTCCAAAAGGATTTGGGTTGTTATTGCTTCCGACCTTTCTTTTCAAAGTTTTAGAATTTACAAGAAAAGCCCTAAATGTTCATTCGCTCAAAGTTACAAAAATAAAAAGAAATTAATTCAGGGCTTTTGCTGTAAATTCTATAACTTTGCAAAGAAAGGTCGTCTTGGGCTGGGAGATGTCTCATTTTAATCAGAAATTTTCTGGCTACAATCATACCTCATGAAGAAAGGTTTTGGGTATTTTTCAGAGTTTCTAAAAAACTGGTTTTTCAGAAAAACGGATCTTTGAAGGGCTGAGGGGAACCCCCATGGTCGGTAACATATAACCCACTAGATTTCGATCAAAATCGTTTATCAGTTGGGATGTTCCCTCGTGAGTTATGAATTTTTTAAACTTCACTGTAATGAAAAATACAGCAAACTTGCTTATTCTAATTTCTATTTGAAGTTTTAGCGAGAAAAAAGTAGACTAAAATAAAAGTTTAAAAATGCAAAAAATACCCTTCAACTGACATCTAGCTAAGTCATTTTACATTATTATGATCCGCATCCGACAGCAAAAATGTTCAGCCCGTCGAGTTCGACAAAACAGGCTGTTCAAACTACTTTTCATATTTTTGCTTAATGCATAAAGAGGAGCAACTTTCTACTACCATAACTCAAAAACTAAAGGACTTGAAAAGTTTTGACTCTGGTTTTGGGACTCGTAATCATCTGGTAAGAAATACATTCAATTCTGAGATCATCAACTTCCCAATCTTGGCAATTCTTACAGACAATGACCCATAATATTACACCAAAAAATATATTTGGTTTTAATCAATTTTTTTAGTTAAAAGAATTTCATTCATTATTCTAAATCAATAAAAATTAAATAAGTCATAAAAAAAGAGAGAAGTGCATGCACATGCACTACGCAGAAAACTCATCTAATAAATGGAAGAGAAAAACTGAGACAAAGTACTCTTTTTATGTAAATGAACTTTGCCTATTGTTTCAAGTTTTCACAAAATGTTCTTTAGTGTTTTTGAGTGAATTGATATTTTCTCAAACTGTCATCTTGACGTATTTAAACTAACAAAAACGTTACGTCGTACAAATCCTTTTCACTTTTACTAGATTCTTTTTACGTTGCTAAATTTTGTCCGCATAGTTTAGACATTCATCTTTCCATGTTTAAATAGAATGTAAATATAAAATATCTTAAATACGTAGCTTACGGTCTCTCTTCCAGTTTATTAATAGCTTAATAGCAAAGGTATTTATCTTACTCTTTACCGAAACGTACCGATGTTTCATTTCTTTTTATGATATTAATATTACATTGTCTTTTATTTTTATCATTTTAGTGTTTAAATGATTCAACTGCTATTGATTTTCTTTTACAAAATTCGTCTAGTGTATTAGATGCTGATCCATTATTATTGTCATCTGTGAGCAATACCAATAGTGATCTGATTACAATAAAAGATGTAAACGAGCAGAAAGCAATTAATGAAATAGCTAAAAGTTTGATTGATACTACGTTTCCTATGCCAAATTTTGGTTAGTATATTCAACGTACATACGTTCTGATATTTCATTTTTCATTTATTTCTAGGTTCAACATCTTCATCTACAACAAGATCTTTATCTTCTTCGTCCAGTGTTATTGATTGTTTGCTGATGGAGAATAATAATTTCAGTATGTTTAGTTGTATTTTTAAGAAAAAGCAGATAAAAATATACATAGAAAATAAAATAAAAAAAAGAATCTTTTGTTTTCAAGGTGCATTAACCGGTGATCCTTCTTTTTCAAATGAAATGCCAAGAAATCGTATTGCTCCGTCAGCTTCGTCAAGAAATGGATTGGAAGAAATGCAAACAAAATTTCGACCACAACAACAACAACAACAACAGTCCTTCTCTACTCAACTACCACCTTCAACAGGAACATACCAGTATCCTCAAATGGTAGGTAAACCGCAGGGGTATATCTAATGTGTCTTCATACAATTAATCTCTTCTTGTAGAACAACACATTTTTAGTCGATGATGGATTATCATTGGATAGTGGTTCGGTGCCAAACATATCACTGTCGCCGTTATCGAATACTTTCTTACCATCACAACAGCCTCAACAACATCTGAATCGTCAAACATCAATCGACGGCATAATTGGTGGTTATCCAAATATTTCCATGAGACCATCACATGTTCAACATCATCATCAACAACAGCAACAGCAATTGCCATCACAAACTAATCCGTTTTATCACCATAATCCTAATAGAACATCACACATTTCTTATTCTTCATCGGTACCATATAACAATATACCTAGTCAATTTCTACCACCAAATCAAGTTGTTGGACCGAATATGATGTTTCAACAAACACCGTCTAATAACAGTCAACAGCGATCATCACAAACTCAAAATAATTTTATGGCTCATCAAACGTTTATGCAACAACAACAACATCAACAGCAACAGTCACAAATGCAAATGGATCAACAACAACAGCAGTGGAATAATCCTCAACATAATGTTCAGTTACATATGTCAATGAATGTTGTATTGCCAAATGTAAGCATCTTTACTGCATAAAAATCTATATAGTATAGTATTTTGTGGGCTGAGTAAAGAATGGTCTTACATGAAACGTGTATGAGTTTTATAAAAGCGACGAAAATATCGGTTACTTCAATAATTTGATCAATAAATAATTGCTTTATTTATTTTTTAGATTGGATCCAAATCCAATTCTGCTTGTGTTTACGATCGATCATCTAGAGGCAGTCAACAGCGTATGCCATCAGTAACACCAACAGGTATTTACCCACTTCTCTCACATACTATTTCACGAGGTAGATGTCGTGTATAAAGAATAAATTACTCTGTAAGAACTTCAATTAATTCAGTTTTTAAGTTTTGTTATAATAAGAAAAGAAGTAAATTAGAACAGATCAAATACAAATACCGACAGATAAGTTTTACTATTACAGTGAGGGTAAATAATATACCTTTGATTTGCTAATGATATGTTCTGTATCCTGGGACACAGTGGGCATTTTCCCATAGAACAGGCGGACATCTCGTTTTTAAGTTAAAAAATGATTATTTTCGCATAATATTGTCTTATTATATGTCAGATATTAATAAAAGTAAAAAAAAGTCGAATTCAAAAAAAAGGTCTTTTCGATAAAAAATCCCTTGTCCTGAATTTCGTCAAAAAATTTTTTATTTGTAAAACTAACAAATTATACATCATTCGATGCAGTTTTACGCGTTGATTCCAATATCTTATTATTTTTAATAAAAGTGTTCCTGAGCTGAGAAAAGTAGATTTTACCGCAAAAGCCTGCAAAACCCATAACTACGTGTGGGAAAAGTTATGCATTTTTGTGTATGTATTATAGATACAGCACATCTTGACGAACATTTTGGTGTAGTTTGAAGTCGTTCAGCGACCCACGAAAATTGAGCGACTTAATTGTTTTCGAATCAATCAAGTCGTTCGATTTCCCTCGCCTGGAGGCTAATTCCTTCGCAAAACTGCTGTTTTTATCAAGTTCCTTTCGGGGCAAAATTGAAAACCTTGTTACCAAAAGATAGCTCACAGCTTTTTGATCTAGAATATGCCAGATAACCGAATTTGCATCGATTGACTCGAACGAAAGAATTGATTTTTCAAAAAGAGAGTTAAAACACGGGCGACTTTCCGTCTTGGATTTTTCCTAGAAAGTGTGCACATGGAACGAAAACTTTTACATGATTAAATAGGCCATTAATCGAAGTATATAGGACCCTATAGAAATCTAGCAAAAGTGTACTTTCAATTTTTTCCAAAATGTCCGCCTGGATGCCCACTGTGTTGGAGTGCTATGTGAACAGTATCATCATTAGAAGATAAAAATTAAGGAAGCTATTCTCTGCATGTTTTATACTAAGTTTTAGGTAGTAAATTCCGAAACAATTACTTATTAATTACGCAAAAAAATTTCATGTTTTTGCTGTTTATCATTGAATGGATCGAGCATTATTTCTTCGGCTGAGTGCGGCTGACTTTAAACGTTTTATTATTTAAAATGATTTCTTTCTATTAGCTATGAATAAGACTAGATTTTCTTTTGCTTTGCATACGATGTATGATAGATTTTTAACAGATTCATCATTTTTAATACTTACTTCTTTTCTTACAGGTTTAAATAATTCATTTAATTCTAATGATCCGATGTCAAACATGTCTCCACAATTACCGGGTCTTAGTGTCGGTACACCAGATTTTGTCCATATACCACATTCACGAGGCTCGCCGTCCACATCTCAGTCATCTTCTACCATTCAAATTCAACAACAGCAAACGTCAAATACGTTTTCAAATCCACTAGATGCATTAAACATGCTTAATCACGATGAAACATTTCTAAATCAAAACAATTCTCTATCACAATCACAACAATCGCAGATTCATCAGGTATGATACTATTTTTTTACTAAACTAGAAATAAAATAGTTTTTGAATCTATTGACTAGAGAAATGACTCATCTATTGATTTACTTTTTGTACGCGTAGATTACTATTTATCATAAGTATTTAATATTTAACAAAATATACTTCCTTGTTGGCATAGATTTGTGCGATATGTGCAGGTGTTTATCTTCCTTTACTGATTTCTATACCTAATATATTTTCTTATAAAATTCTTTTCATTACGTCCATAAATTGAATCGAAACAAGAGTGACGTCATATTAAAGTTAAATAGTCACGGTTTTTACCTTTTCATTTTGAAAGTTAATAATAATGATGAAAAACATGAGATGACTTTTATCAAAAAAAGTTCGTAACTACTTCTTCAAGATTTACTTTCCATTCATATCACAAATTTTTTTTCTCAGAAGTCGTCTCACCTTTTTTATTCTCAATTCCCATTTTTAAAATACTTATTTTGCATAAGTTCTCTTACGTTTAACTTAACTTCCAGAAACGAAAATAAAAAACATTATTAATACAATGTCTTTATTCCATACGAACTTTTACTGTTCTTCCGCATTTTATGACTAATTGTAGATTTGTTAATTCCTCTTTTTCATGACTATCAAGTAAACGTTTCAATTTTTTATCAATTTCATTGTAAATTTTTTTCTGTTGATGAGTTTGAACTTCAAATTCTTCTGCTTGATGGCGTTGAAAGACAGATTCTTGACGTAACAGATCAATAAAATCATAAATATGTGAATGAACAGATGCAGCATAAGTATTTAAAAAAATGAAACGAATTGAGAGAGAGAGAACAATTAGAGACGAATAGAGAGGATACGCTTTTTCAATAACAAGGCCATCTCAACTGAAGAAAAGGCATTTATTATAATAATTCTATCAAAATTATTAATAATGACATTTTTTTGATTAAAAACATTTGCTAATAGATGTGAAGAGACAGAAAAAGAGTCTACAAAATTCTCTCTTCTTTCCCGTATCCTCTTTACCAGTATATCAATGTAACTTGAACTAAAGAAGATTTTCATTTTCGTATCTGTATCTAGTTGATCGGATATCTGTTTGAAAAAACATTCGAAAATAAAAGGCGCTATTGTGCATATATGCAATACAAAAAAAAACTAATACTTTAATAAAATCAGAATTGCTTACCAAATAGTTGTTTAAATGAAAAAAATCGAAAATAAATAATATTAAAATTGACTAAATGGTAATAATGAATAAATTTATAGCAACGAATCGGTTAATGACACTCATCGTAATAATATTTAAATATGCACAACCATATATACTTCTAAAACAGAACAAAAAAAATATATATATTATTAAAGAAATGAAAAAAGAAACATACGAGAAAAACGAAATAAATAGGTCAAACAGTATATGTATCAAAAAGAACATTTCTTTTCCTGTTTTTTTTTTGAAATATAAATAAGTATAGAAATTAGATGACGACTTCAAACAAATCAAGTTTAAAGAGTGATCAATTATGTATTATAAAGTTCATCTTGTGTTTGATCATTTCGCTATCATTTACTCCAAAATCATGTTATTATTGTTGTTAAAAGATCGTTATTTTTATTATTTTTTGTACTATTATTTTTGAAGTTCTATACACTTTAAAAAAAAATTGAAATATAAGAGTAAAGTAGGCGATAAAAAAAAAAGAGGAGAATGTTCTGTGGGCGTTTCGCGAGTTACAGGCCATTGTTACTTAGTACAAGTTTGAACAGTAGTAAAAGAGCAGCAACCTTTTTCATCCTTGATAAATAACGTATCTAGTAATTTAGACAAAGATGCATATTTTATTTATTGAAAACTTACAATATCAAGTTTTTTGTGATATGAAAACAACAAGTGTATATTAAATAATTATTCATAAAAGTGAAAGTAGAACATTTTTTTTTTCTTCATACGGTCTACTTCCATTCTTCGAAAAAATCTCTTTTCTTTATAAATGAATTGTTTTGTTTTTTTTATTTCACTAATAGACAATAAATAAGTCAAACAAGTAGACTCGGTGTTTATCAATGGATATTATCATAAATAAATCTTATAGACTAATATGCCGTGTTCTTTCCAAAATATATACATCATCAGGATTGAGCGAGTTCGAGTCCGAGTCCGAAATGGACGATTTTTCGGTGGACTCGGACTTGGACTGAAGATTTTTTTGAAGGACTCGGACTCGAACTTTCTCAATCAAGTTTTTTAATTAGACGCGAAAGAGCAGGTTTTACGAAAAATAATCTGTCTCAACTGACATTGTTAAAATGTAATAGAAGTTTACTAAATAGCTTGTCCAGCTAACGGTCCCCTTTTTTCGTTTATTTTCAAAACGTTATTGCAATAAAGCTACAAACTAATCTAAAATTACAACTAGATCATTAAGTAGACTACATTTCTCTACAACATGAAAAGTGTCTTATAGATAGCTTTTTAAGTTCGAAACAATCCTAATTAAGGGGACCCCCCCCCCTCTTTTTTGACCCTCCTGGAAACCGGGGACGCCGATGTCGGATCGGGGTGAAATTTATAACAGAGATAGAACATCGAAAAAGAAAATCGATGTATTTTTGCATAGAATTTTGTGACGTGTTCTTCTATGGGTTTTCTAGAAAACTCTGGTTTTCATCCAGTCACATTACGACCCCTCGAAAAAATGGTCCGATCGTGCTCAAAATTTTACCACAGATACTTCAAACCCTATCTCAGGTTCGTTTTTTTTCGTTTCAAAAAATATGCTTTCCTTCTCCAGATATCCCAAAAATGCTGGAACATGTACTCCGCATTTGGCAACAAGGTGAAAAAAGAGGGGGGGGGGTACCCTTAATCTGTATTAATCAAAGGAAAATCAGAAAAATCGTAACGCTGTGACAAAAAACGGTTAAAAATGTCATAGCGTCATGATTTTCCTTTGATATAATACAGATTAATTAGAATTGTTTCGAACTTAAAAAGCTATCACATCTTGTAGAGCAAACAATTTTCTACAAATTGTTATACTTGTTCAATTTTCGCGTGCTCGTCTTCACTCTTTTAGACACGGTTTTCAGATAGCCTCAAAATCAATTTTGGGGACTGTTTATACAATAGCTGTATTTTCATAATAAATCAACGTTCGGAGCCGAGACACTTTTCATTTTGTAGAGAAATGTTTAGTCTATTTAATGATCTAGTTGCAATTTTAGATTAGTTTATAGCTTTATTACAATAACGTTTTGAAAATGAACGAAAAAAGGGGACCGTTAGCTGGACAAGCTGTTTAGTAACTTTTTCTGTTTCAACAAGATTGATATATTAAATGGCACAGAAAATAAAAGAGAAATAAACCAAAATTATCAAAAAAGAATCTAAAAGATTATCGAACTTGAGACTCGGCCATCTCTGTACGTCATCAATTATACTTACTATCAAATTTTTTTCATATTAATATATCGTATTAAAAAAATAATATTCTGTTTTCTCATATAGTTAATAAATAGATATGCGTCGCATCATATTGCAAAATATTTTTTTTTTTGTATTTATAATTTTGATCTTATCATATCAATATCGGTTTCAAATTGTTAGTTATTTAAAATAATTAAAAATATTATTCTTATTTAATATTCATAGAAATGTTTGTTTTGTTAAGTTGACCTCTTTTTTTTTCTCTCTCACAAATTATCAAAATGATAATACTTACTTATGAAAATAGAATGTATTAGACGATGCGAACTAATTAAAAGTTAGAGTTTATTTTAAGAGTATTAAAAACATATCTCTGTATAAATGAATTTGACAGTTTCTTATTGTTAGATTTTTTAGTTCCTTTTTTTTCTTTCTTTTTTTTTCGAAGAAATAATACTTTTGATATCATGTCTCTCTCTATTCGAGGGAAACTTCATATTTAATAGTATTTGTTAATTTTTTTGTTTTTCTTTTTCTCTTTTCTTTTTCTCATATCTCTTAATATCGATCTTGTTTTCTCTGTTCGTTTTATGATCGATTTTTTTTAGACTGCTTCTTTACATATTGTTCTATGTATTCAAATTCTTGGGTCCAAATTTCAATTTTTAAAAGAAAAAATCATTCAAAAAACAAAAAAAAAAAAGAAGAAGTTTGCTATGCAAAAATAAATTTATTTTGTTTTTCGAGAAACAAAAAAATAAGAGGGAAGATCACCTTAACCTGTACTCTTAGTACAAATATTTTCTCATTTTCATTATTACTATGTCTTGCTCTCTTTTTTGCTTGATATTATCCGAAATTAATATACATTTTTCTTTCTTTCTCGGCCTCTCTCTCTCTCTCTCATTCTCTGTCTGTGTCATTTTTTATTATATTCTGTCATTTGTTATTTTTTATTACATTTTAAAAAAAAAGAAATCTACAGTTCTTCTTTCTCGTACTTAATGTTGTTGTTTTTCGTTTCTATCTGAAGATGATGAATAGCAATTAGCTTTAGATAGATTTGAAATAGACTTCTTAACCCGTCACATTAAATAATGAAAATGTAAAATTGATCAATATATATTTTTATTTTTTTGTGAGCGAAAAATATCTAGTATGAGTGGGAATCGTAAAAACTTTTCAATCTCTATTATCCAATGTTTGTGATTAAAAGGAGAAGTTTTTAATAAAGTTTATCATTTCAACTTTAGTATTCATTTTTTTTTTTATGATTTAACAAGTACATCAATAATTTTCATTCTTTTACTCACTAAATGACAATTCTAGTTCTTATCATTCATTATGTACATTAATTAATATCAAGTTGTTTCATTTTTATTTTATTTTATTCTTCAACATTAATCATTTAAAGTGAAATATTAGAACATTTACTTTGTGCTTGTCTTATTGTTATGAAATTTTCTATCGAAAACATAATTTTGAAATATATTTTTCAGAATTTTGAATCGAAAGAAGATTTATCAGTTTTAGATTTAACTTCGATTTATCACAATTTTTTCTTTTCTCAATTCGTCCCTTATTATTTTTTTTATACATTTATGAACAGTTCTTAAGTAAAGCTAATAAACTCATCTATGACACAAAAGACTTTATCAATCATAATTTGATTTGCATCTTGGACAAATAAATGAGATATTTCGGTGTCTCATGATCTTTAAGTTTTTGTGGACAAAAGGAGATAATACTCGAAGCATTTCGATTACAACATCAACTTTCATTTAGTTCCTTATTTGAACGTTTCTTTGTGTATTGATAAATCGTTATGATTCAACATACAGAGTTACTATTCTTAGAATCAGTAAAAGATAACATTTCAAAACAATTTCTAGTTTTCAATGTCAATGTATTGACACTTTTTAATGTTACTGAATACTTTTTCACGTTGTTCAAATTTCTAATCTTATTTAACTACACCTTCTTCGTCTAAATAGTGAGTGTTTTATTGCACAGTTTTAAAAAAGTTAAAAAATTTCTAGAATGAATTGAGAGAATACTTTAATTTTATACACATGCTCATAATAGAGAGAGAGAGAGAGTGCACTGTTTCAAATTCAAAAGTAGAAAATAATCTTGTACTTACACCTGTTTGGATAACTTTGAATCAATTTTATCGTTATTTTAAAGTCTATTGAGCATTAGTAGTAGTGAATAATGATGATGATGATGAAGTGAAGAAGAGAGGAGATGAAAAAACGTTAGATTTCAAATGTTGATAACCTTGGTTTGATTATTTTCTTTTACAGGTTATCTTGTAATATTGTCAAACATTGGTAGTTTCTTTCCTCTCTCTCTCTCTCCTTCATTCTCTTTTTTTAAGTTATAGTTTTTAAATTCGCTTTATCAAGAGTAATTGCTTAATCAAAAACTTAAGGATACTTTACTTCCACGTATGAGACGTATATCAGAGAAAGAAAGGGAGAAATTGCTGTAACAGGTATAAAAGGCATTTATACATTACACAGATGATGATATGAGTATTCTGAACAATCGTTCTGCCAGCATTATTATTGATAAATTATTAACTATTTCAAGGTTCATTTAATAGAGAAACATCAAAATATGTGAAAAAAAACATTAGCAAATTACTTTTTTTATTATTAAATTGTTTTACTTACCTTTGAATGAGTGAATTTCGTTTTGAATATAATTGATCAAAATTTTTGAACAATTTAAACAGTTTATTTTTTCATTGTTCTGTATATGTATATAATGCATATGTGATTCTAATATAGACGTATTATATAATTTTATTTTGCGTGAGAAAAAAAGCGAAGATGAAGAAGAATATTTTTCTGCTGTTCTATTCAAGGTTAAAAGGATTCTCATTCCTGATGATTTCAAAATTTACACAAATATTTTCAATGGCAAGATAGAAGAGAATGGTGCATAAAAACTTAGTTTTCGATATTAGGAAAAAAAAAAAGAATGTATCATTTTTCTTTCTTTTAATGAATATATAGATTTTTTTTTTTCTTCTTTTTATTAATAAATGACTATATATCGAACATCAATGTACACAAAGTGTGAAAATATATTTTGCATGCGATCTTATTATTTTTCAATAGACCAAGAGAACAGAAAAACATTAAAATTGATGAAGAAAATGGCGTTTTTAGGCACGGTTTACAGACTAAAATGGACACGTAATGGATTATTTACTCATTTTTATATTAAAAAAGAAGATCATTTTTTCCTAAATTCAGTAGAAGTATCGAAAAGAGTACGGTTTTATTATAATCTAATTCTCGAATCGATTTTTGAATAACTGTTAGTTACGACGATTGATCCTACTTCGCTTATCTGAAAAACGAGAATATACAATAACATAACAATAACTTTGCCCTAACTGGTGAACAGTTATGACCAGGAACCGTTTTAAAAAGAAAAAAAAGACACGGTTTCTCTCTTCTTCAGTAATTATACACTATGGCATAATATGAAGACAGTTGTGATAGAGTACCATCAGACCTTTTATATTTATGTGAAAAAAAAGTGATAAAATGAAGCAGAGAATTAAATTACATTAAAATTGTACTCTTTTTGGTATCCGTGTTCATTTCAGCTAAATTAATGTATTGCTGCAATGATTCAAATTATAGAAGAATTAAGCGATTAATCGCTAGAAGAAATCAGAAAACAAGAAAAGAAATGTGAACAAAAACTTTATCGGACTTGATAATAACTTAGTTTCGCTATTAAATTTATTGCTTCAAGTATAGAGAGAGTTTGAAATGATTTCGTATAATTATTAAACTAATTTTTGATCATTTGTGTTAAATTTAACGTTAATTTTTATTGTAATTAAGAAGAAATTTCCTTAAAACTTTAATATGCTCTATTTAATAATAGTGAATTACTTAGTAACTTTAAAATAGAGCAAAATTTGCAAATTTTGTGTCAAGTATCTTGTTCATGTCTGATTCAAATAAATGTCACTATATGAAATAGGATGTAGATGCATATGAGAAAAGATCGTCATTATAACGGTTAACAAGTGTGTACTTGGAATTTTCTTTTTTTTCTGATGTTTTAAGCAACAATTTCCGAACTAAAATGTCATCATCATCCATAATGTTGAACAATGATGTGTATATGTATTACATAATAGGACAATGTATATCGTTCAAACATATGCATGCATTAATTCATCTTCTTATATTCATATGTTTGTATTGAAATAAAAAACTGAATGAGAGTAGAAGCACAGAGAGAGAGAGAGAGAGAGAGAGAGAGAGAGAGAGAGAAAGAGGAAGAAATGCACATAGAAGAGGTCAAGGTGGTTTTTCATTTATATATATATATAATTTGTTCACATAATTATTAAAATGACTACTTCTCTCGTGCTGGATTTTGCTCTATTTGCCAATTACTGTATCAATGTTTGATGTGAGCTAATTATCTTCTCAATGTCTCGAGATTGATGAAACTATTTTTCATTTTGGGTCACATTGATCTTAAAAACCAATTTTTGTGTTTACATGTGTATCTTGTGTTCATTAGTCTAGAATCTTCCTTTCTTTGTCTCATTTTATGTGTGAAGGCGGGAGAAAAAAAAGGTATTGATACGAAATCAACAAACAAAGAGAAAAAAAGATAATCTTTTTCGTCTAGAGATCGAATAAAAATTAATTTTTATACAGTAAATTTTATGGTCAAAGATTAGAATTCCAGTTAAGATGAAAAAGAAAGTTTAAACTTCATAATAAATGCAATTTGATAATCGCCCTGAATTAGTACACAACCTTAAATACACTGTATTTTTTGGATCTGCCACTATCGACGCTGATTAAAAATTCACACGTTATTTTTATCCAATTGAGCAGGTTTATGTAGAACTCTTGATAAAATCCTGAGTAAAAAAACTGTTCCATTTTAAACATTTTACGCTCTATAATGAATCCAATTCTAAAATCTCATCTCGTACATGATTATCTTCATTGTCTTATTGATACAAATTGATTATTTATGAGAAAACTGTAACTTTCTGAAAACTGCTATGTTTATTGAGCTCCTAATTCGAATATCGGTCAGTTTGAAATATTTTCAAATTATTAGATGTATTAATTATTCTTTGACATAGGATTTATCAATTCCATGCCATTGTAGAAATGAGGGTGAGAAATAAATCTGTAAAGATTTTTGAAAATATATAGTTTCTTTGTTTTTTGTGAATGCATTTTATTATGTGTGCATGTGTATGTATATTTTATATATTCAATCCTTGATCTAGACATGATAATGCTTTCGTAATTCAAGGACGACCTTGTTGGATGAACTCGATACGAACTACGTTATATATATATATATATATCACAGAAAGAAAGAACGCTTTTGAACTGCTTACGTATGCCTTTCTTTCTTTCATTATTGATGATAATGCATCTATCTTGTATTGAACATTTTCACTAATGGAAATAAATGTGTAGATACATATACAGTGATCAAGATTTCACGTAATAAGATTCTATCACATAAATATAGAGTAGCATTATAGGAATTTGGTTAAATATACAGTACTCTTTCTCTCTCTTCCTTTTTCTTTCTTGCTTCATTATTGTATAGAAAACAGAGAGAAGAAATGATCGTCTTTTTTTCCTCGTTGAGCGGATGTGCGTTATATATAAATTCTGTCCTCGAAATTTTTTTTTCTTCTTTTGCTCTAGCAAGTTCAAGGTGACACTTAACTTTCAATTTTCTTATGTCAAAAAGTAGAACCTTGGAGCAAATGTTTGTTAAAATTTTATATTTATCAACTAATGAACTAAATATCAGACTATTTTCTCAGATCACATAAAAATTAATGTAGAATATATACGTATAATAAATAAATAACTATCATTTACTTCGTATAATTGCAATTTTTTAAATTTAATGGCTTATTAAAAAATATTTAAAAACTTCTTTTTTTTTGAAACGATAAAGGTCTATATTAATTTATCTGTTTATTTTTTTGATGTTATGAGCTCTACATATTGTGTTCATCATCTTCAAGCATACTAATTGTTTTGTGTTCGATTTGTCGATTATTTTCGCTGCTAATATGATGGACAAGAAAACAAATGAATCAAAACAGCAGCAGGTAATGTTAGAAAATAAATAGTTGAATAAGCATTTTTGTAAATGGATATGTGACTTTCGACATAGAATTTGTATATGAAAATATAAAATATAGACATTATGAAGACGATGATATTCGATTCAAAGTCACATACTATTTATTACTGAATATGTTGAAAAATGTCATTGTCAAATATAAGGAGTCATGATGTGTAATAAAAATTCTTATAAATTTTTTGTGATTTGTTTATATGAAAGCAATAGAGCATAAGAGTAATTCTTTCTTTCCTCTTAAAATCAATATATTACACGATGATGTTTAATTAATTGATCCTATCATTTCAGGGATATCCAAATATGAGTGTGAATGTATCAGCTACAATACAAAATCCTCACAGTAAGTTATTATTTGATGTTATTTTTATTTCAATTATAAACATGTCTATTCATTTTATCCTTCAGACTCAAATGATTTAATGAGGCCGGTTGGTTTATCTGATGTACAATCATGTCGTCAATCAGATGAATTACAAAATCAATTAATAAATAGTTTAAGGTAGAATTATTGGATATCTCTTAATCTAATATATTATTAGATAGATTTCTTTTTTAAATTACTAATAGTTTTCAACCACAACCATATACACGTGAATTTGTACGAAAACAATTGCAAAATACAATTAATAGTCGACAAAAACCTAGTAAAGACATGCAAAATAAAGGTGAGAATAAAAGTAAATAATTTTCGTTCAGTAAAATATTGTTGGATACTTTTTTATATTTGTTAGGCATAGGCTCACCCAATCCAAACACTTTTTCTATTCAATGTAATAATAATGTACCAAATCCACTATCAAATAACTTGGAGCCAAGTAAAAATAAATTTAGACATGTTCATTTTAGAATAAAGAATGATTTTTAATTTTATTTTTTTAGATCAGAAAGGTGCTTATTTTCGAAATCAACTGTCAAATTCACGAACACAATCGTGTAGACAACCAAAAAATTCATCCGTAAGTTACATACTACAGATAAAAATTGACTAGGACTGTAGAAGATTTAGATAAACTAACTAAAGTAATTAAATTTAAAATGTAGTATATATCGATTTAAAATAATTAATAAATAAACTTTTTTTCGAATTCTATTTATGAGTGAGTATACGAGTGAAGATTGAGAACTACTTGTAGTAACAATGATATTTTATACAAGATTTTGTGAGATTCGATTAAAAATAGAATGGAAATGTTTTTCTCGCCTATTATATAAAGAATGTTTTATTGTCTTCGCCTTTTAGGAACACTTTGATTGAATCATTATCCACAAAAGAGTTTGACTATAAACGAGTTAATCAACAGATAAATGGAGAAAAAAAATAGAACATATTGTATTTTATAAAAGATGAATAATATGTGTGAAATTTAAAACATTTTCTGTTAGCTTTGTTTTTCTTTTCTTTTCTTTTATATTTGTGTGTCTGTGTGTGTGTGTGTTTGTATTTGACAATAAAGAAAAAATTTTTTTTTTTCTATATCTATTTGTTTGGCCGTTTTTATATTGAAAAAAAGACGAAGTTTTATTTACGCTTTTCTATATATTGTGTTTTTATTGTGTAAAAAAAAAAAATCTCTACTATACGATTTTTGAATATAGTTTTTCTTTTCTTTTTTTTTTAGTAATACAAAGGTCGGAAAAAGAACACTACAGAGAAAATTTTCTATTGAAAATAAAGATTAGAAAAAAATTGGTTATGAAGTCCTTTGTTCTTCGAATACCAAAAATCCATATGGTTTGTTTCTGCAGTACACTATTTTATATTGTTTAATAGATCGTGATACTGTAATTAAACATTGTATGATAAATATTTCAAATACTTTGTATTTAATTCCTCATCTATCTAAATCTATAGCATCAATTTTGAATAACACTGTACATTTGAATATAAAGATAGAGAGGAGACAAAAAGAGAAAATGACGATTATCAATAACTAGAAAATTTATCCGGCGTTGTCCGAATTGATGTTGATGAGGGCAGGAGGTACTCCTGTGGTCATCCTCTTGATAAATGTGGATCCCATGCAAAATTTGGTTGCTCTGGGATCAAGCATGTGGATTTGTATAGCATAACAATCAAACAGACAAACAAACACTTTATATTATAGTATAGATGAATGAATGAATGAATGCATGTAGTACCTTTTAACGATATTTATCTGACCTTTTTTCAGTTTAGAAAAAAAAATATCCATCGTTAAACTAAAAACGACAATACCGACTAGACGATTATAAAGAGAAAAGTGTTGATGACGAACGATGAATTATCGATAATATATCTACTTCTCTCTAAAAAACAAAAATATTCATTCATTTAATACTCTGTCTATGAGAATTTAAGATTCTGTTTTTATTCATACTTTTTACATCAATTGTATTTTTAAAATATTCGTCAGACAAACTATTTGAAATCGTAATAGATGATAATTTTAATACATTTTTAACAAAATGTCCAATTGCGATGAGTTTTTGGCCTACATACAATTGGACATGGGCCATGAGTATCATGTATACACGGTCTTTTACATCCAATAAAATGTAAAGAAGAATTTTTACGTGTTGGAAATGGTTCAGCTGTGGGAAAACGACGACATAGAAAACTATCATGTTGAAGAGAATTAGTGCGAATTAATGGCCAAATATATTTTTCTAAAAATTGTTGATCACCTTTTCGATTATAACATGGTACTAAATCTATAGATAATAAATATTTAATCATTTCATATATAATTTGTCTATTACTTTCAAATTTTTTTATTCCCCATAGACCACCTAAAATGGCCGTATCGTGTTGTGGATGATCACGCATAATGTGAAACATTTTATCTGATGCAATCCATTCATTTACGGCTGATACTTCTCGATCAAATATAGGACTATCAATATCTCGAGACATATAATAATCAACAAATTTATCAGCTAGAGGCAAAAAACGTTGTATTTTTCCAGGCATATAATTTACTATATTTCCAAGTACAGGAATATTTTGAACATCACAAAAATCCACATTTTTATATAAATTTTCAATATTTTTAATATCTGCTAATGATACATTTATATTATGATAATAAACGCGTACAATCCATTTAGGATATTTTAATCGAACTTCTTCTAAATATATTAATAAATATTTCCAAATAGAATTTATTAATTCAACACTATCAATCAATGATATATAAGCTGATACACCAATAATATTTTGATGATATCCACGACGTGTTGCTCGTTCACTACAAAGTGTATCAACAGTATTTTCAAGTAATAAATAATTATCAAATAATTTTGGTTTTTTTTTCTTACAAAATATCGATGTTTCACAAACTGTATCCTTAGAACACCAAGTCAAAAATATATTATTAATATAAAATAAAACTAAAATTATTAGTGAAATACAAACAAATTTTATCCGTTTACAATGCATATTGAATAAGATGATAAGAAATTAGTTGTATAAAATTTTGAATAGGATTTTAAATATATTTATCTACATAGTCAAATTTGAATGATATCATGTCATAAAAATTTTCCTATTTCAAAGAAAAATGAACAAATAATCTAAAATTGCAGAAATATTAGAATATTCTTCGGTATCTAGAAAATAGATTTATGCGTAGTAAATGTCTCTTATACAAGACTATGTAGAATAACTTAGAATTTAAATAAGAAAAACAAAAAGATCTTTGAAATAATTACACAAAAAGACACTTTCAAAAAGATCTTTAAAATAATTACACTTTTTTTATGATATAATAATGAAAAATGAATTGTTTATATCTTGATCGCGTAATTCGACTAATGAATTTTCTGGCATGATGTTTTTTCTCCTTTATATTCTCAAGGTGTTTGTGGATGAAAAATACATCTCTTAATTTATAAACGCTTTCGAATCCGCTATAATTTTCACATTTGTAGAAATATGAGGAATAGGCACGCAATGGTAACGATAATTTCTCGGTTAATCGTTATCGATTTTATCGTATCTTACCGATTATCGTTATCATAGTTATTGCTTCTTACCGATAAAACCGATAAGTTTCTGACACTTGCTGAGCAAAATCAAAATAGAGAAAGTGAGTTTGTAGCAAGGATAAAGTTACCATTCTTTTTCGTTATTCTTTTCTTCCTCATATCAGACAACTAGCAAATAAGACATACCCCTTTTCGCATATGCACGTGTATATATGACTCTAGTTCAATTTATTCTTCATAACTCAGTCAGTTTTGATCCAAATTTTATAAAAGAACTACCGTAAGACTCACAAGATTTTGGTCTACTCACAGATGTAAAAAAAGTTCAAGGTCCCCACAGTGGAACCTTCCAAAGGACTCGATCAAAGTCAGCACATTTTTTTGTTATTCGAATAATATTAGCATACGTCATTGACTTTGATAGAGTCCATGACAGTATGACGATAATCGGTAAGGATCGATAATCGTTACCAATGCATACCTAATGAGGAATATTGGGGACATCTTTAAAAGTATTACAAAAATGCTTAAAACAGTTCATTCTATAGATCGAGAGTAAAAGACTAAAGGGATTAAAAGACTACAGGACTGAAAGAGTGACAGATATAAAAGTACGAAAGTATAATAACAATAATAAGCTAAAATGAGAGCGTGTACCCTTGTATCTAAGCTGGAAAGATGTCTGGACAAATTTTAGACTATTTTCCATCAGACTTTGATAGTCGAGTTATGCAGCGATGGCAAGTTCGAATTCAAGTCCGACGGATACAGAGTACTTCTTGCGTCTTAATCATCTCATAGCGAGTAGTTTTTAACGTCATTCTATGCAAAACCTTTCCTCTACAGAACTATGTGAGAATTGGAATCTTTAAGGGTACCCCTTCCCTCTTTTTTGCAAAAAACTTTTCATTTTGAGCTGAACATAGTCGAATATAGAGGTAAGTCTAAGATATCAAATTAGACCACTCCCAGCTCTCCACGATCTTCCTTGAAAACATTATGAAGTTTTTAAGTTTTTCCTCCAAAGCCTAAAAAATCTCAATTTATTTTCGTAAATTTTTCTTTCCTTTCCTATATATTCAAATTTTTTCTGATATATGGATTGATAGAAGAAAGTCCGCTTTTCAGAGTGAGACTTCTTGCAGAACTTTCCGATGAGTTTTCGTGGAGATATAAGCATCACCGTAAATGCCCTGAAAAACAGAGCGCTGTGAACCTCGCTAGAGCCTCGCTACAAGATGATTGAGACACAGGAAACATATTCGTCGGACTTGCCCATCTCTGGACTTATGTAGGCAATCCTTTTATAAAAGGAGAAAAATTAATAGCGAGATGAAGAACCATTCATTATATAGAACAGACAGAAGAATAATCTGTCAAATTTTTGTTGAGCATTATTTACCTTTTATTAAGTTCCAGAGAGAGGTAAGCTTTTTACATATTCTAAAATTAAAAAAAAGCATTCATCGAAGTTTTCCAAAAGAATTTGATCATACTCTCTAATGAACCTCGAGCTTTTTTGTTTTTATTTGAATTTACCATAATATAAAATATATAATCTGCTTTTCTCAAATAGTATTATCCAGTATAATAATGTCGTGCAAGAATGCCTGTAAATAAATATACGGTTTATGTTTTCTCTTACTTAAAAAATTATTACATTAGAAATGGTAAAATAGTCATTTTACAAAATAAGAACATTATAGTACTGAAAAAAATTCTAGCAACAATTTGTTTTGTATAGATAAAATGCAGATAAGTCAGCTCTTTAGTTTTCCAGAAAACCATCACTTTACTAAACAAGCGTCCACAAGAGGCTACCGATGTTTTCGTGCGTTAGTGGAAATGGTAGAAGTTAGAGATACAACCGACAAAACTGAGTTGATTCACTTCTCACCTCATCCTCTTAAAAAATACAAAAATCCAGTCCAAATAACAGTAGGAAACACAACATCCCACAGTTTAGTTAAGAAAGTTTAGTTAAGAATAGGTCTTTGGCGCTTTCTGACCTGATTAGTGGGAGAAGATGTCAACATAAAAACAACGATTGATTTATTCAAGCCGTTGATTAGAGTAGTAATATTATATGGATCAGCTGTGCTATTGACAACAGAAGAAAAATCTGGGAACGCTTGCAAATTATATAGAACAAAAGCATTCGGTCAGCATTAGCTGTGCCGACTTATACGTCCGTTGAATATATACATAGAATCAGAGACATAAAACCTTACTCAGTGAAACTAACTAAAAAAGCAGTACTCCGAGCATAATTACACGAAGATACGATTATTAAAAGCAGTCTAACTGATATCCTACAAAATCTCTAAAGCAAAAATCTACAGATAACTCTTTTTTACTTTTGATCTTCTTTTATTCTTCCCTTGTTTATTCTGTCCTTGTTTCCTTACTTAATTTGTATACACACCGCTTCTGCTTCGGACAAATTAAAATCTTCAGCTATTCAAATCGTTTTTCGAAGATGTTCAAACTATAACGATCGACTACGAAAAACAAATTATCTCTACAATTTTTTCCAGCGCTGTAAATCGTTCAATATAAATACTCTTAAATTATTACTAAAATACAATCAATTCTCTCGTATTATTTTCCAGTATCGACTGTAACGTTCAAATATATTAAAAGTGGACTGTTGTTTCGAATAATGAATTGCTGATGCACATGCATAGGGTCGACTCGTCTTCTTTTTAAAAAAATCTTCACAATTATCATTTTCACGATATGAAATATCAAAATTGAACGATTGTCGCTGTATTCTTAAATATTCGGGTAAAATTCCTAAAAGAGAGAAACAGAAAGACATTGAAATCTATTTTTATCTTTACTATACTTGCTAAGTAGAGTGTCTCTATACCTGTGACATAAACATCTGACAATGGAAGAGGTGATTTATCTCGATAAAATGTACACAAAATTGCATATCTTGCCGTCGCGCTAATCAAGTAACCAAAACCGCTTAAATATGATGGATACCTATCACAGGGATACTCATCTTCAGTGACAATATATCTGGCGGACTCTGATATCGGATCTGTCGTAGAATGAATAGCAACAGCATCTTTAATCAAAAATCCATAGAGTGTTTGAGGATAAGACTTAAGTTTATTATTATTACCGATCGAATTTTCACAATTTAAACTTGTTAAATTTTGCATAGTTCGATTATTATAAGTAAAAAGTAATGTTTGAACAAATTTTGCTAACAAAAATATATTAATAAACACATCATCATCGGTTTTAAACGTAAATTTAACTTGAGAACAATAGCGTATTGTCCAGTCCAATATAGACATATCTCTCAATGTCGCTAATGTATAATGTTGTGGCAATATTACTTGAACAATATCACCAAATAAGTTTTGTTCTAATTTAACATTTTTCATATTTGTTTCATCAATATCAATCAAAAATATCAAGCTTATATTCAATGTTGAAAATTGTTTTACACCTTTAACATATGCCATATTACCCCATGTTCTTCGAATAGCATCACGCATATTGTAATTAATTGATTTCGATACAACAAATATTAGAATATCACTAGTATTATGATTGTGACAATAATCTAAATTTGGTATTTCATATTGAAATTCTTCTCGCACTGGACTTGTTTTCAAAAGATCGGTAGAACTAAAAATAATGTTCACCTCAACAATTGGCAATTCTAGTTTCATGAATGTGTAGAGGTGTAGGTACAAACAATATAACTGAGAAGATTTAAAATGAATGTTACTATTGTTTATGTTTTTCATATGGTATAGGTATGTACCTTAGATTTTTCATAAAATATGTTCGAATCATCGTCTCGCTACATCGTTTTATATATGATGTTGAGGATATAACTGATACATTAGTCAAATTGATAATTAAGATAATCAATAATGTCAAAGTAAGACTTGAAAATAGATATTTTCTCTTTATACGGAATGTCCAGATATTCATTGTTTACCATTTTAATTTACGTCATCTAATTTGGTTAAATTTCTAATTTAAAAAGCAAAATTATTAAAAAGTAATGAAATTTTTAAGAAGTTAATTGGCTCCATAGTAAAGTCTTTCCCACGCACTTGAATGTTGTTTTCTGTTGAATATACACATGTCTTCACAAATGACCCCTAGCCAGAGCTATATTTAATGACTCGTAATGGTATGCGTGACCATGTCGGACGCTTGTTAGATGAGAGAAAGATATAAAGCTGCTGAAACCTCAGCCTATAGGCTGAGGTACCGACGTATACGTTGGTAACAGTAGTCGCATATGTAAAAGTTACCAAAATCTGATTAGAAATAGCTACAATCACTTTTTGCTTAACTTTGTAAAAGTCAAAAGTTCATAATACAATTATTTTAGCTTTTAGAGCTGTAGAGCGTTAGAGAAGAAATTAAGCTCATCATATTCTTCAAAACCTTCCCATTTTACCAAAAATATTTCAAGAAAAATATAATGAAAGTTATATTTTATAACACGTGCATGTGTTATAAAAGCACATAGACATTTAAAAGTCATCGTTACCTTACAGCTCGTTTACCCGTCAAAAGCGTTTTCGTCCATGTATAAATTATTATCATGTGAAAAAGACATCAGCCATTTAGAGAGAACAAGAATTTCAAAATCTCACCTTTAAGAATGATGAAGTAATCAATATTTTCAATTACTGACATACAAATGTTAGGTAATTGTTCGAGCCATCCCTAAAACATGTAAGAACGTGTAAGAACACATTTATTTTTTCTTAGTAGTGACAACCGATGAAGCGAAGAGAAAAAACCTGAGCACGAAAAAAATAATGAGTGATAAACTTTGTATGTCATTTACCGTTTCCATCGTATCGACATGTACTGTCCTTTAAATGGTCAACTATAATGCCTTTGAAAATTGTCAGAACACGAAACTTTCTATAAAACCATGCCATCGGTCCATTTCACCTTGTATGCAAGATGTGGCCTACTAGAAGTATTATAAGTCTCCATAGTCGATGAAAAAAATGATTTACATCTTTTCATACTTTTTCTTTTTGACAAATTGTCTCCATTGTCTAAAATCACTAGATCAATATTGATATTGCAATCAATATTGCAATATTTATTTTATACATAATATAGGATACCTAATAAATTTATCATTTTATTATCTTGGTTAACTTTATCGATATTGTGACAAGGCGAAATACTCCAAACTTTATTCGCTACTAATATCTAAAAAAGTTACAGGAGGCGGAAAAACCAAGGCGGAAAAGGACAATTCGGATTTTCTGAATAAAAATTTGGCGACTCAGAAATTCCCTGATCGAGGAATCGTACGAACGGAGCATACCATATCAGATATGATCAGATACGATTGTATTGTATGATCGTACACGAACCGGTATGATCTAGAATAATCGTACAAATTCATACATACGAAATGGTACGATCGACGTCCGAATCGTGGTCCTTGAAAAGTCACATGGCCCAGACTATACGTTACGTACAACAATCGTACACACGATATTGCACGATCTGATCTGATCCTATCAGTTACTGATACTTTTTTGGCCACACTAACGCAACGCAGGAAACGGATGCTTCCTATATGCGTTTTATTTTTTCTTTTAATTTTCTCACAAAACGAAAACGGCCAGCATACGGTTCTGTGATAAAAACTATAACCTCGAATTAAAATAGTACACATTTTCTAAAGTACCCAGATCGAAGAATCGTACAAGCGGATCGCATCATATCGGATATGAACAGATACGACTGTATTGTATGATCTTACACGAACCGGTATGATCTGGAATAATCGTACAAATTCATCCCTATGAAATGGTACGATCGACATTCGAATCGTGGTCCCTGAAAAGTCACAGGGACCAGACTATACGATTCATACAACAGTCGTACGCATGATATTGCACGATGTGATCTGATCCCATGAGATCATACATACGAAATAGTAAGATTACATAAGATTGTGTCTGATTTTGTATGATCATATTCAATCTTACGTACGAACGATACATGATTCTGACTGCTTTTTGCCGGTTTCTCTCGCTAGTTTGCTTTTGCTTTTCCTTTTCTTATGCGTTTTTGTTGCATATGTGTCTTCTCAGTTCGTTTCTTTTTCATGCCTTTTAATCATGTATGGGGTACATAAAAGGTTTAGAAAAAGAGTCACTGGGCTAGAAAACTGTAGAAATATTTCAGTTCATTGAATAAATCACATCAAAACAAGAAAAAGAATTTCTTAAAAAGGAAAATCAACGAACAGAGCATTACAAAAGAAATGTGAATTGACATGAAAAAATGTGCCTAATTCGTAAACAAAAATTATGGAGAGCTGAAAAAAGAGTAAGAGAAGCAGTCCTTTCAAGAGTAATTCTGAAAAAATGTGTTTTAAGGTGCATATTTTTAGAGAAAATGGTCCGGCAGGTGATTTTCTCTTTTATACGCTACTATGATCCGTGCAGTTCTGACTCACCGTAACCCAGCTTTCGAAAGTACGCTTACGCGCAGCTTCGAGCGCAAATCTTGTCACCAAACTAACTAAGTTCCTATAAACATAGCACACAAGTTAAACACGCTCTGACAGTA